AAATTTTGCAAGTGGCTGCAGCAGCTCGGTGCCGACGATGAGGGGCTGCCTGTTGAAGAGGAAGCACTCGACGAGGAAGAAGATGCAGCCGCTGATGCTCTCATTGAGGAATTTGACCATGTTCACATTTCTGACGGCCTTGAAGGCATGATGGACAACGAATTATCGACGAGGAGGTGATGGACGAGGGTTCCATCTACTATAATTGAGACATCTCGATGACCACTATAGGGGATCCACTCCCCGTCGAACAAGTACCACAAATACAAACGACTTTTGTCTGCGGGGATGACTTCATGGATAGAAGTCGTGATCCAATCATTTGAGAACTCTGTAGCGGTGTATTATACAAAATGGTATTATTATACAGGCAGTCCCAGCATTTTTCGATAATACAGACCCATTAGCGTGATCCAATCGGCATGGATCGCCACGTGGCTCAAATCGGCGACTGTCGCGTCCACGGGACTTTCGAGGCCCCCCTCTCATGTATGTTTGTTGTTGTTGTCGGTTGGCGGCGTCCGAACCGGCCGATTGTCCATATCTGAAGGTGCAACGGGTGCTGTCCTCGTTGTAATCACCCACGTGGGGATCCATAGTGTCGTAAGGTCTCAAGATTCACCGGTTCGACGTGCGGGTCCTGACAGCATTGTGTGGATATTCCTGCCATCTCTTCGTTCTCCTCGTCGAGTGCGTGAAGCCATGGGCCCCCGCGTGCCTCCAGTACTGGTCAAGCACCTTTGCGGTGCAACGTTGCGTTCTCAAGCATTTTCGAATCGGCGTTGGCACTCAAATTGGTTTGCAATGCGACTTGGACGTTGGTGAAACTCGTTGGGCTGTAGCATCGAGTGGTATAACTGCTCAAGAGCATGTGCATGACGTACACATCCATCCGAGTGCCATTCCGCGTTGACATCTCGCCCACCATGCTCATCATGCCAGGATTTTGCCGATGTCTCGATTAAAAGCGCTTCGCGTGCATTTCGTGTCGAGGACGCTCTCGGTCCGACAAGACCAGATATGCACCTAGCCTATTTCCATTCATCGCAGGACTTCGTCAAGCACGGCCGCGACCGATTCGCCCACTCGTTACCAGGTGGACGGCCAAATGCTGGGAAACCTGGCACAACTTGCCATCCCGACATGTGAACATTTGTACGTCACCCCTGTACGATCGGTGCCCTTGTGTCGTCGTTGGTTGTTGGATCAATTTGATGACTATCGCCAACGTTTTTTGATTCAACACAGACTTGTAGTTGGCAGCGAATGCCCTTGGAAATGAAGACCTTGCCTTCTTCACCTCGCTTGAAGAGGTACGTTGTCGTGAATGTGGTAAGGATGCCGAAGCGCCGGGGTATGGAGCACGTCGCATGCAATTCCTGGTGAACTCCAGGCTACCGTCGCCAATTCACGCCCACGACGTCAAGCACAATGACCGGGCTAAGTTAACCTCCTGGCCTTCAGCAAGTCATCTACCAAGTCTCAACCAACAAGTCCACTTTGGTGGGCTTAACAAGCAACGTGCCTCAGAATGACTACGTTCCAGAAATTAGAGGGATATCTTGCTCACAAGACAGGTCCAACGATGCCACATTTCAGTGTTTCCGCCCACTCCATGTAGGAAACGTGTGTTGCAGATACTACTTCGTGCACAGGGAACATAATAACCTAGGGACGCACATTTGCCTTCAAACCTGCCAGTGCGCCATCGCGTTCGCATCGCAAGTTTATTCAAGGTTACCAGCCTGTCCAAACATCCTTGTCACGACAACAACCTTAGTTGGCAGCGACGCCACCACCCGACTTCAAGCGGAGCACAGCTTGGCGCTTGCGGGTCAACTTGGTCGTCTTGGGCTCTTCGGCCTTGGCCACATTTTCCTTCTTTTCGGTCAGGATCAATTCAATGTGGGCCGGGTTGGCCATGTAAGGTCCAATGCGACCATGGGCACGGTAGGTGCGGCGGCGCTGCTTGATCGCCATGTTTGCTTGCGCATGGGCAATGTACAACTTGGCCGTGTCGAGGCCCTTGAGTTCGGCATTGGCTTCCGCGTTCTTGACCAAGTCCAAGATGATGCGGGTCGCCTTTTGGGGCCATCGGCACTTGTCACCGGGCGCGTTCAAGAGCTTACCTTGAGCGTGACGGCCAGGGCCACCGGTGTACTTGGTGAAAGGCACGGCAGCCTTAAATTCCAACACATCGCCCAAGAACTTCTTGGCCTTCGCCAACGAGTAACCTTTGATGGTGTGGCACACTTCACGGCAGTGCTTGTAGTGCACGCGCAAGTGGCGACCACGGGCCTTGGCCGAGGTGTTTTGATCTTCAGGTTCTTGGCTGTAGGAAGGCATCTTACAATTGCGATGATAAGTTGCGATTGGGGGCAAAACGCCACCGACGCACCGCCTGCCTGCAAACTCCCCTGCCAACCACCAACAATTCTCGACCCCAATCCCTACCATGTATTGGCCAATCAAAACACCCAGCTGCCAATCTCCAGTGAACTTTTGAACTGCATTGGATTGGTTGAAATTGTATGCAGATCATGGGGTTTCGCCAATTGGATTGGTTGAAAATACAATAGATTTCACGAATCAACCTAGGCCAGGTTGGCGACGTTTGAACGATCGAAAACATCGGGGCAGGAATACTGGGAGTTGGGGGGAAGCCACCTTTTCTTCAAGGGCATGGTGCGATCCATAAACTATGCGACGGCTCGACATGTATCCTCGAGCGAGCGGCGTCATCATGTGTGAAAGCGTAAGCATCACCCAACACACATCCGTGGACTTCAACCAACACTCCGCATAAAGATGTGCGATCAATGCTATGACCAAGAACATTTCGGCATTTTCAACATGAACGACATGAACGAACTCGCAAGGTTGTGGAAGCATGCTGGCTTCCCTGCATCAGCCCTCGATCGACTATCCCTTGGTGGCAGCGCTGCGCAGTACCTACCCAGCGGTTTCCGTGTCACATCGGCTGCGACGATCTCGATTGCTCTGAGTGCACTCGCTGCGTCTGAGATCTATAAACTTCGCACAAGTCATTCACACCCCGTGCGCGTGGACCGACGAGATGCATGCCTCGAGTTTGACTCTCAGTCCCATTACCTTCCTCGTGTGGACCAGCCTCCGTTAAACGTTTGGGACCCGATCTCTGGCCTGTACCCCACAAGTAATGGCGGTTTTGTGCGATTGCATGCAAACTTCCCACATCACAAAGATGGCTTATTACGATTGCTTGGTCTTCCTCCAACCGCGGACCGCGCTGCAGTCGCTGCCGCCCTTCTGCAGCATGACGCAGAAGAGTTTGAAACGGCCGCGACTTTGCAGGGCATGTGCGTGGCTGCCTGTCGCTCACCCGCCGAGTGGGCGTCCCATCCAATGGGGCAATACCTCCAGCGACACATGGAATCCAATGCCCATGTTCCCTTTCGAGTTGTCCATTCCAAGCGTAGCCACACTACCTCCCCGTTTCGCCTTTCACCGATGGAACCGCAATCTAATTGTCTCGCTGGCCTCCGTGTGCTAAGTCTGACACGTGTCATTGCCGGTCCGGTTGCCGGTCGTACTTTGGCCTCGCATGGCGCCGATGTGTTGTGGGTAACAGCGCCGCATCTTCCAGCGCTTCCTGCCTGCGATGGAGACACATCCCGAGGCAAGCGCACGATTCAGTTGAATTTGCATCAAGCGAAGGACTTGGCGACGTTCCATCGGCTCGTTCAATCTGCCGACGTCTTTATCGACGCGTACCGACCTGGCGCGTTGGAAGCGTTTGAAGGCGTCGACACAGAGTCGCTCCATGCGATGAATCCGTCGCTGATTGTTGCCAAGCTCTCCGCGTACGGCACGAAGGGGCCCTGGGCGAACAAGCGTGGCTTCGATAGCCTCGTGCAGACGGCAACTGGATTTAACGTATCAGAGGCGCGGTATTTTGAAGGACAAGATGTCCCCAAGGCACTACCAGTGCAGGCGTTGGACCACGCGTCGGGGTACTTGTTGGCGTTCGGGATCCTTGCCGCAGTCCACGACAAGTTGACTTGTTCGACACCAACCAACTCGCAGGTCGAGGTGTGTTTGGCATGGACGGCCGAGTGGTTGCGACATCTTGGCCAAGTACAGCAAGGGGAGACAACGGAGGAAATATCACCTGAAGATGTGCATCGCATGTTGGAAGTCGTCGACATGGGGACTCACCAGGCAAGGTTCGTGAAGCGGTCGCCCGAAATGACACCGTCACCCCGCTTTGACTTTTATCCGCAATCCCTTGCTCACAATGACGCGGAGTGGCTGCCACGTAGTCATGTCTAATGCAATCTATCCAAGCTGTTATTCAGTGTTGGATTTAAACTTGTGTGAAGCGCTTCCTCTGCCATCCTCCCAATCACGATGACCCTCGCACGATTTACTTACGTGCTTTGGCCATGACAGACGTCGAGAACTCCGTCGTAACTGAGCGACACTTTCACACACAACAGATTTTTGAGTAGCGACACGGGCAACCGAGCTCAACATGTTGCAGGGAGCAAGGGCCAGGCCCTCCTAGTGACAGGTCGCGTCAAGTTTGTGTAGGCATTGCCACACTTGCAGGCTTGCACGAGCCGTGTCGTCATCGTGTGAACAGTCAGATCATCAGAGTGTTCCTTGTTCAACAAAAGACGGATATTCAACCGGACAGCGCACACACCGGAACTGAACTTCATATTATCCGGACGATCTCGTTCTTCACATTGGTTTTTATCCACTAGATAGTTTTAAACACTTTTCCGAATAAAAAGATCAGGAATGCAGGTTGTTTGGCCTAGTGAAACGGTGGCATTCGGTATCCGGAAAGCCTCGACTTTCCCGCCATACTTGCACGAGGCGGGTTTCCTTCAGCACCATGATGGACCACGTCGACATCAGCGAAGAAGCACTGGCAAATGCGATGAAAAGCATTATGCCGAAGATGGACGCTCGCACCGTGACCCTAAGTAAGCTCCTCGAGCACATTCAACGAGCACTGGGAGCAGAGAAGGAAGACTTGAAACCGTGGAAGCCTCTCATCAAAGTGCTCGTTGGTGAGCACTTGCACCTTTGCGTCAATGCGGTGGAGGCAACGCCGACCAAATCCTCCCCAGTAAAAAGGACATCGTCTTCCATGCAGGCACCCACGACAATTTCGGTTCCACAGGGTACTGACGACTGCAATGAATCGGACGGCGACATCAAACGCAAGATATCACCCAAACCTAAAGCAAAGTCGAAGCGCATTTTCGTGGACGACAGTGACGAAGACGGCGACTTTGTTGGTGAAAATGTACACCCTAACGTCAAAAAAGACCGGACAAGTGCTTCGACCGCGTGCACACGCAATGTGATCACCAAAACTGATGTGCCTGACGAGGTGGAAGGCAACGCTGAGAGCGAAGAACGCGACTACCATGGTCGGGAGGAGAACGATAGTGCTTCAGTGTCTCGACCAGTGTTCAAGAAGAAGGCTCGCAACCCAGTCGAGGAGTCCTCCGATGACGACGCCCAATGTCACCTTACCGCAAAGAAGGCGTCTAAACCTTCGTCGAAACAAATCTACAAGCAATCTCCATCTCCATACGCCTCTTCTACCAAGCGCTCGCACTACGAAGATGAAAACGAAAGCAATGACGAAGACGAACAAGCTATCAATCGTCCCATAAAGCCGTCGAAGGCAAAGTCGAAGAAATCTGCTCGCAGTGTGCCGTCCGATGACGAAAGTGATCGTGAAAATGATTCCGACAGCAGCCCTGCGACTTCTCCCGTAAAGAAGAAGCGAGGCAAGCGAGCTCACGACGGTTCGTCAAAAATCATAGCGTCGTCTAAGAAGTCGCGGACAGCCGCCAAATCCACTGCACTAACGTCATCTGGTCTTGAGGCCCTTAAGAAATTGGCCAAGATTGCCGGAGTATTAGCGTACGTTCGAGAATCGCTCCATTTCAATGGGGTAAGTGTATTCTTGCTCTAGGCCAGGGCTATACAAGAAACTTCGCGAGGCTCAGTCGGTAGACGACGCCGAAGAGATTTTGAGAAATCGGCTGGTCGACGCCAACGTCACTTGGAGTGGAAGGTATCCCACCAAAGCCGAGATGGTAGCGGTGAAGAAGAAGCGAGACCTCGAACGCGAGCTCGACGGCATTGATCCAAGCATGATCTTGGAGTCGGCCCGAGGCACTCGTCGGTCGAGGACGACCATGGACTTCGAGCAAGTTGCGCCTGTCGTGATCGAGAGCGACGCCGAGTCCGAAGCGTCTTTTAACGCGGCAAATTTTAATCAAGGCAAGAGCGACGATGAAGTGTAACGAGGCGGTATGGCAATTCGATTGTCTAGATCTGCTGTATTAACAACACAAGCGGCGATGCCTAAAGCTCCAAGAGTTTATCGCAGTAGTACGGCGATCGGTGGCGCGATCGGTGGTCTCGTGCCTTTTTCCCGAGCAACTCTGGGTCTACCGCAAATGTTTCCTTGAGTACCTCGAACACTGCCGCCTGCATGCAGCACAACATCAACATCTCGTCAGCAGAAGACAGGCTGACCTGCACGTCAGAGTCAGGATCGTCCAAGTGCACAAACAGCGCGTCCATCGTGTAGTCAATGATGGTGCCGCGAAAATGGCTGCGTGGGGCCGCTCGGAGAAACGTCACGTACGTGGCACACGCAGCCTTGCGCACGAGATCGTTCGAATCGTCGAGGCGCTTTAAGATCTCGTGGTACAGTTGGCTCACAGGCTCCTCTACACGCCCCAACACGTGCGTTTGAGCCATGGAATGTCCACAAGAACACATGAGATGGGTGGCATGCATACCTCCCAACGCATTGGGCAACGCGACAAACAAGTGCTGCAATGACAGACATACGAGCTGCCTTGTCTTAGCGTCCGAGTCGTCCAGGCACGACTTGAGCACAGGTAACATCTAAGTCAAGAGTGGTTCACCTTGTACTCTTCCAAGCCTGTACTTACTTGAGGCGCCGCCTCAAACAACGCTGGCTGGTTGGCCAGTCCTTGGCGCAACAGGGTGTACGTGCACGCCATGGCGACTTTGCTGCGGCAATCAACTACGCATGAGGGGGCAAAGATATTGAAAAGGCACGATACCGAACAGTGGCCGCTACTTTGCCCGACTGCCAAACAATATTGGGAGTGATGCCTTTGACAAGCAACGACGCAGCAAATGGCTGGAACGACTACGATGTACGACGACCTTTGCCTTGGGACGTCGTCGGAAGGGTCGCGGGGCCTACCTGTGCCATCAACGTGTTTCCGAGCAAAGTCTCAAGCAGCGCCAAGAACGACAAGCGGACGTCCGGGTCGTTTGATGGGGTTAAGTGGGTCAGTACAATCGGAACGACGATGTGCATTTGATCTGCTGTCGCCTGCACAATCCGATTATGTGTCAAAGCTTCACGCATTCATACGACGTCGTACGGCGTACCCGGCCGCCGCGACGACACAAAGAATCAAACAAGACACGACTGGATGCCGCTTTCGACCACGTTTCGCTGTCTTTTGGTCGAATTGCATGGATCACTTGGGGCAGGTGCATTCGATAGAGCCCCTACGACACATTTCCCATTGGCAACTCGCAGGTGCTTCTACGAAGTCAAGCGCGACGTACGTCCAACTCAACGTGTGACGCAGCGGCGAGTGCCTGCAGGGCGTCAATCGCCTATGCACCGACACTGGGTGACTTCCTTGCCTCTCCAAGCCATCATGCACGTTCGTACTGTGTGGAACGCGATCGAGTCCTCCGGTGTTGCGGCCACAATGTGATTGAGAACCCAAAACAAACGAAACGCTAGCACGTCGTGGCTTGGAAACAGCGGTGCCCCCGTCGTGACGATGGTTGAAGTCAGTTTGGCCAAGTGATCCTGCATGTCAGGAACGTCCGTGTCGCGCAGGCCAGCCTCGGACAGCGTTTCCGTGATCGTCTAGGTCGTTCCAATTTTAAAGTGCCAGTCAAATTCCAACGCTCCGTCCTTACCTCCATGTGCGGCAAGATCCGAGTCGCTTCCATGCCGGCAATCGCCATAGACAACAGAACAAGGCCATTCATCCGATGGTGCGGTGTGTCTTGCCCTGCGAGGCGTCCCGCAGACTACGCATTCGATCAGTTGCCTGGTTTCATGCCACGGATTGAACATACCAACGGCAACAAGAGAGAAAATAGAAGGTCGGCGTGACAGTATCGACCGACAATCTGCATGCACCCCGCGACAGCATCAACGACGCTGGCTTCTTCATCACGACACGACTTGGCCAGTGCCGTCAGAATCATGTCCAAGTGGGCATTTACTCCACCCTCCGCAAGTACGAGAACCACACGCAGGATGGTCGCCGACTTCTGTCGCGTCAAGGCCTACATGAAGAACACCTTTCGAATCATTACACCATCTCAAGGCGATAGGACCGATGTACCGTCCAGTCGGCGCACTGTTCGAGAAGCGATGGCAGGATTTTGCCCAATAGCCGCTGGACAACACGCCGGGCGCCAGCGCCAGGGCGATGAAGGAATGGTGGTGTGACGACATCATGTTGTGACGCTGCAGTGTCCACTTCCATGTCAGAGGGAGCCGCCATGTCCTCGCTCTCTTCCCATTTTGCATTCAGTTTATCGAGATATGTCAAACAAAACGCTTGCACATCGGGCGATTCGTCGGCGATCCCGGCGAGAAACAGTGGAACCAGCGACGCTTCAAACTCACGTAGTTCGTCAATGTGCTCGAACCACGATCCCGTCGTTTGCACAAGCTGCTTTCGAACGGACGGCGATCGATCAAACACAACTTTGCTCAAGTTTGGCAGCAAAATGTCCTTCATGAGCTCCGGCAGGGATGTCGACCCACATGGAACGACGGCTTCCAGGGCCTATAATGCTTTAATTCCGCGGATAACAATGTGTGATTACCTGCAGCGTACACTGCCGAATCTTGGCGTGTTGGTGGCCAAGGTTCATCGTGAATGGCTTCACGACGGTGCCGAGGTGCTGCTTCACCAACGATTTCCACTTTTGTGCTAGCACGAGGATGGTGTCGCAGCATGCCTTCTTCGCGTCTGGGAATGGGTCCGACGCAGTCTTGCCCACAACGTCCATTACTTCCGCCGACAGCGAGTACTCTGCGGGTGTCCGTTGTAAGACAGCGTGGAGCAATTCCAACAGAAGCAAGCGGATTTCCTCGGCCGTTTCGACGAACGGCGCCTTGCCCACTCGGCCGTAGATGGTCACAATCACCGCATTCACTCGTTCCTCGGTATTGAAAGCTCCCATCGTGCCAAACGCAGTGCAGGCCACAAGACTCAGTTCCCGACACTTCTCGACGGGATCACCAATGCATTGCAGCAAAGGCGTCATGAGCTGGGCGTGGAAGAACTGCACAAGCTGGTCTTGACCAAACTTGGCCACCAAGTCGCTGACTCGGCTGAGCTTCTCCAACGCGCGCTTCCGCACCATCCGCTGCGGATCCGACAAGCAATTCACATCGCGCTGCAGCCATTTGCCCACCTCAGTTTCCATCGCGAAACCCTTCCAATATTTTATGGTGCGGCGAATTAAATCAGGAAACTTCCCGATTTCTGATGTAAATCAGGACCGTTCGATTGGCAAAGTTGGATTTTTCTACCTCATTTTGATTGGTCGAAGGTACAGAATCGAATCGCAGCAGCCAATCAAATGAGCCCACCAAACCAAATTTAAATTTAGGGAAAATGTTCTAAATCGGATCGAAAATAGGTACAAAACAAGAAAAATCCTCGTCGGATTTTGCAGCACACCCATAAGCACATCGAGCTTGCGACGTTGCCATGACGGAGAAGAAGGCCGACGTAAGCTCGCTTCCATCACCCGCTGTCCCTGTGGGACAGCTAGATGTTGTGAAAGCGAAGTTGAAGGACGTAATGTCGCTGAAGAATTTGCGCGGGATCGTGCTCTTTTTTGGTCTCGGTGAGCAAAAGCCTTTCCAAGTCCCGGCCAAGGCAATTATGATGAACCGCACCCGGAAGAACTTGCTCTACTTTGCGACCAACTACGCAGCCGTGGCCATTCTCGTCGGATTTGTTTCCATGTACGCTTGCAGAGGACTGTCGCTTGCGTTTAATGGTGTTGACGAGTTGTGCCTTGGTAGCTTGATGAACCCGTTTTTCCTCTTTGTGCTGATGTGTATTGCCGCTGGTTGGTATCAAAACGCTCAAATTTCGGCAACGGAGACGGAAGACAACAAGTTCACAGTCATGGGTCGACCTGTCGACGCGAACCAGAGAAACGTGGGCATGACTGGAAGTACGTCTCGGTGCCCGCCTCCATGTCCCACGTGGTGTTAATTCTGATGACGTTGTATCTTCTAGTCACGGCATTGCTCATCATTTACTTCGGCGGGTCCGTTCTGTTTAGCATTGCGTCGATGAGGTACCCTCCGCGCCATGCCACGTCACATTCATTCCAGCGAAACCTCATCATCATCCTCTAGCGCGTTGCTGTCTGCTTCGCACGCATTTCTCCGAAATTCCAACATCCCTGACGACGACGACCTTGGGTTTTCTGACGACGTCGCTCTCCCGGAGCCTTAGTTTCTCATTCGCATCCAAGCAACGATTATATACTGCTGGAAACTTTGGAAAACCCAACCATGACTCCCCAACTCACTCGCTAGGATGGCAGTGCCGATCGGCGACATGTACGAGCTTGGCATGGTAGAGCGACGCAGTAGTTGGTGTCCGATTAAGGAACACTCTCGATGAAGTTTGGTGGTGGGGTGAATCCCATCCAACACTGCATGTTTCAATCGTCTGTATGCGCGCAAGTCGCCCACAATCTGTCATCGATATCCCAAGAAGTCGCTTTAATGTATGGAGAATCATGCACATCGCATTCATCGGCATGATGCCGACCGTGTCGATCGACCGGCCTGGGCACTATGCCGAGTGAAACGAATCCTTCCATCCACGTTTGCCCCACGTAGTCGACACGAAATAGAGGGTGCATTTGGAAGAGAGCGCGAATTACTTTCGTTTACTTGGACTTCTTGTCCTCTTTTTCCTTCGCCTTGTCGTCCTCGTCCTCTTCGCTGTACGCGAGCAATTCCTTGAGCTCGCCTCGGACAAGCCCTTGAATCAACGACGATCCCAAGCAGCCAGGCACGAGGTACAAGAGCGCTGGCTGCGCGTGGTTGAACACTACCATCACGATCACCGTCGCGACGAGAGACAGGACGTAAAACAACACGTTCACGTGAAAGTACGGGCGAGGAAACGCCTGGTCGTCGTGGGTGACGCCTGCACGGAACGCGTCAAAACGGAGGAGCAGCGCGACAAAGATGCCGGGAATGACGATATCCCCGAGACCCAGGAGGGAAAACTTGGCCTTTTCTGTCGCCGTGGCAAAAACTCGGGGAAACAAGAGCTTAATGGGGCCGTCAAACTTGGTCGCGACCGTCACCATGACATCCGTGCCAAACACCCAGAAGATGTCGTAAAAGAAGAGACCCACGAGCAAGATGGCACCGACCTTGTAGGACCCCAAGCTCAGCGATTCAATGCCCTTTATGGCTAGTGAAGTGGCAAAGATGTTGTTCAAGACGAAGTGCTTGGTGTGGAACCACGCCGCGGCAAAAATCGCCGCGAAAACCCCGGTAACGACCCACGACGCCGTCAGGTCCAACGTCTTTAAACCAAAATACGGCAGTGTAAATTTGCGGACGAAGTGGGACTCGGTTTCGGAAAACGCAACCTGGCGCACGATGGGCGAGAACGCGTCCGTCAAGCTGTATGTGCCGATGAGGGCAAAGTACATCGTGAGAAGAAGGTTCACGACTTCCTTGTCGAAGAACTTGAAGGCCAGGTACAACCCCAACAACATGGCCGACCCAATTACTGGAAACATATACGCGTCTTCTTTCGTCATAGCGTCTTCGTTCTTTTCACCAGCAGCTTCGCGCTTGTGCTTGAGCTTCAAGGACAGCGTCGAGCCAATGTACACGATGGATGTAGCCGACAGGATCAACTGCACGTTCACAGGGATCAGCACAAAGTTGGACGCGGCGATGATGCCGATCAGGACCACATAGCACAGCGTCTGGACCGAGTCGTGTTGTGCCATCGTAATTGGAAATGGCACACCAAATCTGCCATTTCGTGACCCAAGCGATGACGTGGTGCAATGGATCTTAAAATTTGTATGGGAATCATCGATTTCCGAAAAATTCTCAACACTTAACCTCAATTGACTCTGGATCTCAATTCTCTCCTGATTGGTGTTTCCACCAACGCGCTGTGTGGAATGGAGGTCGAGAATTGGGACGACCTCGACGCCGACGTTGTCGCGGCGGCGGATGCGGCCATTTCTGACAACTACGATATCACTGTAGCGAATATCATGGCCACGTTTGACTTGGCCACCAAGATTGATCTCAAGCACCTCGTGTTGAATGCGCGAAACGTCGAGTTCAACCCTCGTGTACGTCACTCTCCGCCAACGACACATGTGCCGTAACGTCGCCGTGTGCAGAAATTCCAAGGAGCAATCATGCGATTGCGGGAACCAAAGTCCACATGCATCATCTTTAGCACGGGCAAGGCAAGTCCACGCCCGGTATTGTCCTTCCTCGTCACGCTTATGTTGGTAGGTTGTCGTGGTGGGTATGAAGGCCGTTCCCGACTTGGAGATCGTAGCACGCAAAGTCGAGAGCATTGCGCAGGTGCGACAAGCATCACCATGGCCCGAAAGCTCAATGAGGATTCGGTAATGTAGAAAGTCGGGTTCAGGGATGCGGCTGCGCAGTCCCTGTCAGTTCGAAACATCACAGCCTCCGCTAAAGCACCGTATCCGATCCGTCTGGAAGGCTTGTTGAATGAACATACAAGGTTTTGCACAGTAGGTTGCTCAGGTTGCTTGGCTTCATTTATATGTATTGCTGTAGTACGAGCCAGAACTCTTCCCAGCCCTGTACTACCGCATGAAGGAGCCGAATTTGTGCTTTGTTGTCTTTGTCACAGGGAAGGTGGTTGTATGTGGAGCCAAGGTAAGCAGTCCATGTGTCATGGATCGATGGTCCCCTCAAGTTTCTAGCAGACGATCGAAGAAATCATCCACGGCTTCTCCAACCTCATGCCAGTTCTCATGCAGCACCGACCCCATCACACGGCAACTCTCCATTAACTTAATCAAACTATCTATATCACGCGCAGAAGATTTAAGAGGCTGGGCGTCGGTGGCACTTGGTGCAGCATGACCATGTCATGTGGCAGGTGAGGTTTCACCGGAACACTAAATGCATAACGATCCCTTTTCGACGGTCAACCGGGCCACGCATACGTCGTTCATCGTGGAGCCGTTGGCCAGAGTTGCGTACATGAGTACGCTGAGCATTACGCGGGCTTTCCCTGTACATAACGAGTATCTGGTTTCACCACGTCACAAATACAGCACGTTTGGTAGATTGGCAACGAGAAGGAATAACGAACGACCGTACTTTTCCAGAACGCGCTTCGACATGCGCTGACGGCTTCATTGATGTCTGACCTAGCCAAAAATCCTTTCCCGAGGCGGCCAGCAGCCTTGGTGCCCAGCTCTACTTGGTCCTACCTGTGCCAGTCTGTCTCGAATGAATGGATCCTCTTCGGTGTTCGTCAATGCCATTCACACAATTAAACGGATTGGCTATCCGGAACTCAATGGAATCGGATTGGCTAAATTAGTGTGTCGGGTTGTAATGCCAAAAATCGCCCAGATGCAGTCGTTAGATTGTTACGTGCTCGTTGCTGTGGGTGAGAAGGTGGCCATGGCCATGATCGTTCTCATAGTCCGAATCCGAAAGGTCGTGATACCGATCTTCCAACTCATCGTACGTTGCCAACGGTTGGTTGCGCATGATCGAATGCAAGATGATGAGAAACACACTACAGCAAACGGCGTCATTTTCCGTAGGCACTCTGTGCACGGTGTGGTTTCCATCTTACCTGACCACCATGGTGTACAAAAGAAGAGGACCTCCAAAGATAATGACCAAAATGACGGATGCTACGACTCATGTCAGCGATTTTGTCATCCTGGGTGGGTTTACCCAGTGCCATGCACGTGTCCCGTTGCATGGGTGTGGTCGGCCCACCCAAAATGATCACAGGGTTGCCAGGGCTTTCGTGGGCTGTCAGGTAGTTGCAATATGCCCATCCGGCAGCAAGAACGGTCAGGACGATCATGAAGATGGGGTTGAGAAGGCTACAGGAATCGTGAGGTAAAACACACGCGTATCATTTGTTAATCACGTACGCGTGTTGAAAACCGATGAGGCACGTGATGACAAAGTAGTTGACGGAGAAGTACGCCATGTTGGATTTGGTGCGGCACTCCAATTCGCATCGGTCTTGGGGAACGAGGAATGGCTGGTCTTCCCCTGCAGCCCTTGTTATATTTCGCCATGACTCGACGATAGGGCGTACCAAATCCAAAGAAGCTGAAAAAGCCACGAATGTTGTTGAGATCCATCAAGTCGCGAACCTGCAATCGCAACAAATGGATGCGATCAAGAGGGGACTTGGTCATGTTCTGTCGAAGTGGCGGGCGGCTTGGCATGGTCGTTGGGGCGACGTCGCTTCTTGACTTGCAATTTGCCGAAGTGTGTCAATGGGAGAGGTTTGCTGCGAAGTACTTCTGCCGCGATCCTTTACATCACATGCCGCCGTTTCCCTTAAGTCACCATAGGGAGTCAATTTTGTAAAAGCGTTTTGCGTCGCTCAGTTCTTGCGGAATAGCAGCAAGCCATGTGCGCAACAGCACAAGCGGGACCATTGCAGTTGATGGGACTAGCTTTCACCAGTGCTCTGGTCTCTGCTCTTGGTCCCTGTGTCCGACGAGGTGGCACCTCATCTCGGCTGATGTTGCAAAATCGAAATTCCACATTGGATTGGATAAAATAGAGGCCATTTCATTGGTCAATTTTCAAGGCTCAACGCTTTCCTCTGGGCAGCCGAATTGCGCCACCCAAGGTGTCGTACGGGTTACTGTGACGAGATGTTGCATCACCCAACACGTACTAGCGTTCTTGGTTTCATGGACATGCACCACTCGAGCTCGGAAGAGATTTCGACGACTTGTAGCGCAGCACGGGGTGCATCCACTTCAACTTGGTGGCTTGTTCCAAACAACTCGCGTTTTGTATAGTGTGATTCCATTCTCTTTGGTGCTGAAAGCGGACGGTATACATGACGTACACGGAAATTATTTCTTCATGGAATTTCATTGGCTGCCTTCACATTTCACAACTCCATTAATTTTTGGAAATACCTTCATACATCAGAGTGTCGTCGCTGTCACTCCTCCCATCGTCTGTCCAATATCCGGATAATCTGACCTGTATCCGGCAGCTCAATGTCGACCTGGAGTACCCTCATTGACTTGACAAAGCCGAGAGAGCTGAAAGCGAGCGATGCTGTCGACGACTCATGCGCCACCGACAGTGGAAGTGAACCCGCTGAAGCTCATCAGTCATGACAACTTGCGCGACCTCAACTTGTTCCTTGGATTTGGTACACTAGGAGATCTACCCATGGGACTTCAAACAGTGGTGGTGTAGGCGAGCAAGTTCAACGACCGTACACATTCCCTCGATCGACCGGAGAGTTGACGCGGCGATTCCAGCGGAATGTGATCTTCTTCGTTGCCAATTATGCGGTGGTAATCTTTTTCGTCACGATGATCAATGCGTATGTATATTGAAGTACATTCGTGCGATCGCGACTTATGCCTGTGAGTAGACTTGCATGTCCCCAATTTCTCTTCGTTTTGATGCTCATGGGCGCCGGCTGGTACTACTGCGATAAATTGGCATCGGAAGAGACTCTTATGACTGGACCAACCTACATCTTTGGGGTGCCGACAACAACTGAGCAACGAAATGGTATCATGGCTGTCGGTAAGGCGAACATTCCAATCTCCACTCTAATTTTCCTACGAAGCTTCAATCGTTCTTGCTGCTATATATGGAGGCCCTGTTCTTATGTATGCTGCGACAACAAGGTATGAATGAGCACCATGAATGCCGTATGATAATTTCGCGCAAGCGCGTTCATCTGTGTGTCCCATGCGTGCATTCGCAACGCGCAACTACCGTCCGACGAAGAACTCGTGCATTTGCTTCAACTCAAGCCTGAACGAGATGCCCCGTTCCTCACACCGTATGGGCATGACAATGGCTACATGGTCGTCTAACAAAGCGTCGGCATATATCTATCAAAGCATCATCGTACTTGCATTGTGTGCATCTCCACGACGAGCTCGTTCGTTCCACCGTCGTCAGTCCGTCGTCGGCAAGTTGTTGATGTGTGTGCTTTGTGGTAAATTCGAAAATGACGCAACAACCAATCAAATCGCGCGAATATCGATTGCAAGATCTGGCCGCGAATGGGGCAAAACGATCTGCCGCTCGATGTGCCGTCGATCGAAAGGCAGCTCGCGTATCTGGCGAAGCTTGGGCTTGTAGACGACATCACTTTCCCTGCGCCGCATGGCCATGCTATCATTCTACGTGAGAATCGCTCATCGTTGAAACCTCATAACCGTCGACAGTACAAGGAGACTCTCCACGCTCGACAAAGCCATCATGGCCTCGTTCTCGCCAAAGGAGGCAACGACGTAACGATAGAGTCTCCCTCTGGTACAAAGAACGCTGGAACCATTCACCATCCTATGCGAATTGCAACGTTTCGCCACAGATTTCGCATGTGGCGCCGATTCACGTTTCAAGCTCGAGCCAAGACGACCGCAATCCACGTGTACCAAAGCCACATGCTTCGTCGCGTTTTCCGTCGATGGCGTCACGTTGTCAGCAGATCAAGGGGTAATAGCTTGCGATGCATGGAAATGGAACTCTGGCGCGTTCATCGATGCCTGCGAGAGTGGCTGCAGTGGCAGACTCACCTGTCGCGACTTCGAATATGGTACGCGACCCATTTCATGCTGCTTTTTACACGCACGAATCTTGGTCGCATTTTCGCCGCATGGCATCAACACGCCAGAAAACGCGGAGCTCGACATCGCGGCATGGCCATGCTCGAGTCCATGACGGAAGCTTTCCTCAACCGGCGGGTGCTGACACTGCTATACCATCATGCTGGACTTCAAAGACATCTCCGAACGCACATAGTCTCGCCAACCTTTCATAAGTGGAGCATGTTTGCCAAACGACAAGCTGACTGGCGTTTGTATGCGACCGAATGTGAGGACTCCATGGCGCAGCTACATTGCGCTGTCGCTGTGGCCAAGTGGCTCGACCATGTGAAGCGACGCCGAGAGAGCCATCGCTTGACATTGGCCGCTGTGGCGTATGCGCGACGCGGGTGGTTTCAACGATGGAGTCGAACACACCGACAAGTCCGCGCAACGTGCCGTCTCAGCACCGTGCAGAACCAAGTGCTCTTGCGAAGGATATTGACCAGCTGGGCGCGGTACCGTCTCCTTGCGCGCGTGGTCGTTGTGGCTTTGAAGCATGTACACACTCAATTGGTCAAGGTCGGTTGCATGGAATTGCATGGACGTTATGGAATCTGGTTGTAGGCGATTCTGGCCGCGTGGAAGCACCGAACGGATGTGCTGTTGAAACACGCAGCTGCGGTGGTCGCAATCGAAGACTGGCTGATTCAACGGCACTTGGCGCAGTGGCGCGCTCGAACAAAAACCCGAAAACACCACAGGACCCTGTACAACGCTGCCACGTCGTTCAACATCAGAAGCATCCTTCACGACGCTTTACGCCGCCTCGAAACAGCGGCTTACGCTCAATGCGTAAACATGCGACGTGCTGTCGAGCATTTCGCATTGCACCTCCGTCGCCGCGCATTCGCGGAGCTGCGGCGTGTGACTGGAATTCGACTCAGGCGGCGTGCGTTGGTACAATGTGCGGTTGCCATGCACGAAACGACCGCGCGACGAATGTACTGGGATCTGTGGACAGCATACATCCACCGCCAGCGACTGCGGAACGAATGGACGGGACGCGCTGAGAGGTTTCTTGTGGGAAAGCGATTGCGAATGGGAGTGGATGCCTTGTTGGCGCACCGCCAGGAGGACAAAGAAGCCCGAGCAAAGCTTCGCAACGCACTGGCGTGTCGCCATCGCCACCTCCTTCAATGGTCGTGGCTGAAATGGAGCGTTGTGGTGCGGACAACACGTTTCCACCGTCGTGCTGTCGATTCGTTCTGGACCACCCATCGGCGACGGGCCATTCTTCGAGTCGGATTTGACCGATGGATGGAGTTCCGCCACTGCATGCGTTCGGAGGACAAGGCTGACGCGCACGTCCAATGGTTTCGACTGAGGCAGGCATGGTGCCATTGGGTTCGAGTGATCACTATCACGCACTCCGTTCGACACCTGTTCTCACGTTGGTGCAAGACGTATGTTCGGCGAACATTTCGATGGTGGCAGGCGCGTACTCGTGGGCGGCAACTTCAGCTCGTTCAGTCATCGCTCGCGTGGACGGCGTGGAGCAGGCGGTCACTGACACGTCATATTCAATCATGGCGGAAGCATTGCCAGCGCCGACGGGGCGTGCTGGCCTTGGGCACCGCCGTTGCCACGACAACCATCACTCGGCTCGCGGCCAGGGCGTACGCAATATGGCGCTTGCGATTTGTTCAACACCAGTTGGCGCAAAAGCATCATGCTTCAACGCTAGCCCGCCGCATGATCCTTGTCGTGACAGTGTGGCGGCGTGTAGTGGCCGCGAAGAAGAGCATGGCTGCTGCGGTGGCGATCCGACAACGTCGGCGCGATTGCACGCTCTGTGCAAAGGTCTTGACTGATTGGCGTCGAGTAAACCGACGTTGCCGGCAGAAACGACTGGCGAAGTGGATCGGGTGGCATGTCAAGTGCCAACCTGTTTGGCGACAATGGGTTGGCGTGCACAAACTCCAGAGCAAGTTTCGTCGCTGGGCGGCGTACGCCCGCCACTGTCGCTGGAATCTGCGAGTCACGGGCCGCCATCTCCGCCTCTTTCGCGAGGGGCAAGGTATCAAGCGCCAAATTCTCACGTTTCGACTGTGGTGTCAGTATGTCGACACCATTGCGGCATGGCGATGTGAGTACATGGCCGCGAAGCGAACATGCCTCGTGGATGTCGTCACCAATGTCCGCAAGCGCAAATTGGCACACATGTACGATCTGTACCGTCGATTTCATGCGTTTTGCGAACGTGCAACCCATGCCAGGCGCGCGGCCGACTGGTTTTTGATGCAGCGAACGGGACGGCGATGCTTGAAAGCATGGTGGCGAGTTGTGCTGGTGCGCAAGCAAACGCAACTGTTGCGGGTCACCCAAGCAATGGCACAAACGAATCGCAAGCAAGGTACTGCTCGAGCGTTTGGCTCGACGACGTCGTATGCAGTCCGCCAGCGCGAGATAAAAGACGTGGTGTCGTCGAAGGCGCATCTGTTATTCAAGCAGGCACACCCTGTCAAACAATCCTGGAAGTCGCCCCCAAAGTACCCCGCCCTCCCTCCAAAGGAAACTCCATCGAGCTCCTCGAGAGCATGGGCATCTCCTCTCGCGAAGCCCCGATCTCCTCTACTCCGTACCATCGCTTCTCATCCAATGGTGAAGCCAGTCCCTGTGGTGAAACCAAAGGTTCGTTCCCCCGACAAGCCTTTTAGTGGGAAGTCGTTGAAAGTCGTCTCGCAGCAAGCCATCACTCGTGACGCCACCAGTCGGCCAACCATGCAAGGAAACCCAAACAAACTATCACCTCAACTTGTGTCGCCGGAGACCTCGATGGACGTGATGTCGCAGCCCGCATCGCCCGCCATGCATGGCACAGTAGAGACTGGATCAGGACTAGAGAGTCCGATGGCAATGAAGACAAGAAATCGACCAACGGAAGCTCTGAGTTGCCACAACCAGGCGCAGGATCTCGACAAACCTGACGACGTCGCTTGCAACGTTGCCCGTACGCATGAGCCTGCCACAAAGCATACCCACGAGCTGCCTGAAACGGTGGCATTGTGCGGAGCTGAGCAACCGACCGAGAGGGACTTGACATTCCTCAATGCGATCGACGCCAGTTCAACTCAGGACGACATCGTCCAAGTGGAAAACTCCCACGAAACCAATGCGCCACCCACCGTCATGCCCGACATTCCTGACTTGATAGCGCTTGCATGTGAAGACGACACTTGGCAAGCGGCGACCCTAGACACGGCACCTGTCCGTCGGATCAAGGCGCTCTCCGCCACACCTCCTGCCCCCGTCGCGTCTGGGGCAATCATTGCACCAGACGTGACTTGGAACGAATGCATCCTCGAGTTACTTGAGCTGTACTCGACGTTCCGTCCAATTCCGGCGCTGCCCATGGCAAGTCAAGTTGCGGTTTACCTGTTTGACTGCGTGCGACTGCTGGGGTGGATGTACAACGACTTTTCCTTTAAACAGTCGAAGCGCTGTCTCCTCCAAGCCAAGCAGTCCTGTCCGTCCGAGTCTGGAGCCGTCGACGTGACGTGGTTGTGCCAGAGCTTAAACTTGGTCGCCGCGCATCGCGCGTCGTTGGAGGTGGATGTGTTCACGAAAGCCCAGTTGCATCGATTTGCCCACATCGACAGGATATATGCGGCGATGCCAGCGCTGGCGCCGTGCCTCCACCTGAAACGACTCTTGTTCTACAAACGGCCACCCACGCCGCTGCTGCACACGTTTGCGACGCCGCAGGCCATGCTGTGCGAGCCTGTGCTCACTTTGGTCGAAAAGCACACCAAGTTCTTTCGGGCGTTGTTTCTTAGTCCTAGTTTGAAGAAGCGCACGACGACAGGAGCCATGCTGCGCCACCTCGTCATGTCCAAGACGGATTTCCTCGACATGGCCAAAGCCGCCAATATCTTTCCCACGGTACTGTGCCTACTGTCTCGCAGACTTGCCCGACGGCCGCGATGGTAGTTTTTCACTCGACGAGAGCTGCTGTCGTTCTTTCATCAGTCCAGGTGACGACTCGCGTGACTGCAGGTTGGACGTGGCGTGGTGATGCGTCGTGTAGTTCGATGGAGGACGTGCTGACGTTCCCCGAGTTTATCGAGTGCCTCTTTCGTTGTTCGGAGCGGTTTTTCACCGTCGGAAATGACGACGACGGCGGCGAAGTCAGGTTTCAAGCGCTCGTGATGGCCATGGACGGGTACGGATCGATTTTGCAGGTAATGATAGCCCTTACGGCAACCTCCATGGAGTGTCTGGATTGTTCATGACCCAAGTCTACCGGTGCAGAAGCACTCGGCGCATGTGGAACGAAACCCGCGATTGCAGAGTGAGAGCCGAACGCCAAAAGGAGCTCCACCTGCCCATCCTCGACCACAGGGGCCGTCCCGACCCGTCTCTTTTGGTACGTTCTTGGCATGTAATTGCGCTTGGTCAACGAGTCGTGCGGTTAGTTCATGAGCCCAGTCCACTCGACGCCGTCTACCGCCCGCCACCGCAAATCCAACTGTCTATCATGGAGAAAGCCCTGCGCAATGCTCAACTCAAGTTCCTTCGAGGGAAATACCCCTCCATTTGACCTTGGGACAGTAGTGAATGGAAGTCCACAACGGCGAGTGTCGATGGGCGTCGTGGGTTGGCAAGCATACCAGTCGCACTCCTGCAAGGATTCGGCGGCAAGGCAGGTGCAAATCACCACTTTGGCATGTATTTATGATGGAAGTGTCGTGGCGGATTCAAGCGTCTACTGTGCATCCACAACTTAGCTGGCGGATCTGCTCTCACGAAGCGAGGCTTTTAGGCCACGAGCTAGTCGGCGCACTATCGTTCACACGAACGTGCCTTGCCTGGAGTGCGCATGTGGACTCGTCACACCGGTGCATTCTGCGTGACCACAAGAATCCCACCTATTTAACACTCGATTGTATCCTGCTTTGTCGTCGCGTCCTCTTTGAGCACGGACAATGCGATGCAGAATGTATCTGACTTCTCGCATGACGCGCTAGTCCGTGGCGGCGCGGCGGCCTGCACGCAACAGCTCTGCGGATGCATGCTTGCCGTGACTCGACGGAACGCGCTCCCTTCGGGGAATTCTGCCATTCAATCCATGGTTGAACCCCTCTTAAGTGCGAAGCGAATAAAACGAATTGGCCCGATCTTGGACTTCTACATTTGCTGACCCATGCTTCGACCACGGCACATCCTGAGCCTTGCCGCGCTGGCAGCGAACAACAAAGTGACCCAGCGCTCGATCGGTGTGGTTGTAGCGCGGTCCTCGAACGTGGCCTGTGTGTTTCGCCGACTGCATCATTCAACACGACTCCCTGGCAGCCCTGAGCTGGTCAAGCAGTTGCTGACACTCATGAAGTCGGAAAAAGATATTCAAGAGTACATCAAGGTGTATGGCACTCCCGGTCTTCGTCGGACGGCTGTGATCAAGATCGGCGGTGAAGTCGTCGATCGCGAACTTGACGTGTTGGTAAAGTCCCTCATCTTCCTCAAAGACGCCGGGTTGTTTCCGATTGTCGTCCATGGCGCGGGGCCGCAGATGAACGACGAACTGGCCAAAGCGGGCGTCGAGCCCCAATACGTCCAGGGGAACCGCGTCACGAACAAGGAAACTCTTGCTATCGCAAAGCGCGTGTTTCTTGCGACGAATCGCAAACTCGTCGACGCGTTGGTGAGTGCCGGAGTAGGCGTGCGTCCCATCACAAACGGCGTGTTCGAAGCGTCCATCCGAGATTTGGACGTGTACGGCTACGTTGGCGAAGTCAACAAAATCCACAACGAGTCAGTCTACTCAGCGATCGAGGCCAACCAGATACCAGTGCTGTCGTCGCTTGGTGAGTCTGTCGACGGCCAGCTCCTCAACATCAACGCCGACATTGCTGCGCGCGAGCTCGCCATCTCGTTGCAGCCCTTCAAAACGATTTTCATCAACTCAAAGGGTGGATGGATCGAGGATGGAGTAAAGTTGCCGACGATTGACATGAGCAAGGACTACGAACCCATGGCGGCCAAGGACTACACAGGTCGCCAAGGCACACTGCTTAAGTTGAACGAAATCAACCTCCTCGTCAACTCCCTGCCGCGCTCATCGTCTGTTGTTCTCACGTCCGCGTCTGCGTTGTCCCGCGAGATCTTGAGCAACTACAGCGCCGGCACGGTCTGCACGCGAGGTGGCGACGCCGCGACGCTGCAGCCGCTTCAATTCAACTCGAACAAGTACAAAGTCGGTCTGCTAGGCGCCCGTGGATACGTCGGCCGCGAACTCATTCGCGTGGTGGGCGGCCACTCGGATTTGGAGCTCGTCGTAGCGAGTTCTCGAGCTCTAGTCGGCCAAAAGGTGCTCGACATTGCCAAGGCGCCGCCTCTAAACCCCCACACGAACCTTCCTGCGACGACATCGATTCACAACCGTCTGTTGGACGGCATCCCCTCGGAATTGGAGTTTTGTGCGCTGGAAGACTCCGACCTGGCGTCATTTGCGCTGGCCAAGGAAATGGACGTGTGGGTTCTGGCTCTGCCAAATGGCCACTGCGAGCGGTATGTCGTGGCCTTGGAGAGGCTCAAGTCTCGCAGCAAGAAGGACCAAGTGATCATCGATTTAAGCGCTGATCAGCGTTTCAACGACAAGTGGGTGTATGGGCTCCCGGAAGTGCCAGGCAAGCGACAGTTGCTGCACAACGCCAAGCGCATCTCAAACCCTGGGTGCTATGCCACCGGCGCCCAGCTCGGGATTCTGCCGCTGCTACCGTTTTTAGCGCCTGACCAAATGCCGCACGTGTTTGGCGTCTCTGGGTACAGTGGTGCTGGTACAGGGTTATCCCGAAACAACGACTTGAACGTTCTCTCGGACAATTTGATCGCGTACAAGATCGTTCAGCACATTCACGAGAACGAAGTCAGCCATCAGCTCGGCACGCAAGTTGCGTTCATGCCGCACGTCGCGCCGTGGTTCCAAGGCATCCACTTGACGCTGTCGATGCAGCTTCACGACAAATCGATGACAAAGGACCAACTTGTGGCGTTGTACAGATCGTTCTACGCTTCCGAGCCCCTCGTGCAAGTCGTGGACGACGTGCCCCAGGTCAAGCACAACGCTACACACCACCACACGACCATCGGCGGCATCTCCGTCGACAACGTCCACGGACGCGTCGCGCTCGTCGTGACGATCGACAACTTGCTCAAGGGCGCCGCTTCGCAAGCGATTCAGAACATCAACTTGTCCCTTGGGCTCGAAGAGCTTTGCGGTCTTGTCGAGTAACCAAAACACGAGTGACGTCTCGGCAGTCGTTGGGTCGGAGGCTTTGGCCGAGGGTGAATGTCGTACGAACGACTGTCGAGAACGTTCTACGAGTGAGCAGTGCCTACGTGGAACGTTCGCGCATGCGACAGAGGGTTTGGAGGGAACGGGGGAGTAGATTAAGCTTTGTTCTTTTTGCTCTTTTTGACCTTTTTTGCTAACACTTCATCGTCGTCGTTGGCCGTGGTTTTCTTGGCCTTCTTGGTCTTCTTGACCGGTTCGTCCACGACGACATGCTCTAATTCTTCCGCTTCGCCCTTGGCCTTCTTGTTCTTCTTCGCCTTCTTCGAGATACCCACGTCAACGTCGTCGTCCGCAGGCACTGGAACTTTGGATTTATTGGATTTTTTCTTCGGCGGTGTTTCTTCGTCATCAAGTGCCTCTGCAACGACCTCAACTGCCTCCTTGGTTGCCTTCTTGGCCTTTTTCTTGGATTTCTTTGTCGATTCTTCCTCGGCTTCCACGGCGTCTTCTGCTTCTTCGGTAGCGGGCTCTTCACGCGACTTCTTCTTCGAATTCTTGGCGCTCTTCACTTTGGCAGAGTCGATATCGCAGGATTCATCTTTGAGTTTTCGCTTCTTTTCCTTCTTGGCCTTCTTGTCCTTCTTGGTCACCTGGGCTGTGTCCTCTTCGTCGACGTCTTCCCCAGTTTCGTCAAAGTGTTTGTGGACGTAGCCACCGTGGCCTTCTCGCACAAACATCGAGTACAAACCTACGCTAATCAATATCAACACGCGCCAAGCAAAAACACGATGGTCGCAGGTAGCACGCACCGTTATTGGGCAAGCCGTCGTCCCGCGGTCCTTGGTTCTTCGACATTAGACCACCGCCGGAGCCGAGACCACCCTATACAGCGGTCTTGTTGATTACGCGCCAGATGCATATTAGTCTCGCATACCTTGCCCTTGGGCCGCAGCCTCTGGAGCATGTCATGTAGCCGCACGAGCTTCGATTCCTCCATTTTGGTCACGAATTGATATTGACTCCCAAGAAAACCAATCATCGATCGGGATGTGATCCAGTGATTACCCTGCAAATTGATTGGATAAAACCATAGTCACTCTATTGGCTGATTCCCAGAACCGTTACAGGTTGCTGCTAACAGTAAATACTGCGCTTTTCATGCCTCACAATAAATAGTGTTGATCTTGATAATGCTTTGACAAACTAGTACTTCGACGTAGTAACTACTCTACTTACTACTAACTACTTAGCAGTACATTTAGAATATTCCATGACATTCAAGGGTTACTGTAAAAAGGCGCGAAAATTGACGAATTTTTGTCGAAATTTCAAATTACATAGGAGAACTCATTCATTTCTCGTTCACAATATTCCGACAAAACTCGCATAATATTTTGAACATGAATTTCTTTATAGACCATCACAATTCCTGAGGGGGTGTGAGGAAAGGCGGAAGGAAGCAACATGTTCCACGTCCGTTTGGAACAAGCTGCCGCTGCATATAACGACGAAGACAAGCCAACAATCGAGTTTGAAGTGGGGAATCCAAGGGTCGAGCTATTGACAGGCCGGCTGCGGCTGTTCCGATCGCTTGAAACGACGAACGACGAGAGCAAGGACGAATCGGACGATGCCGCTGGATCGCTGTCCTGGCTACCAATCTCGCGAGACACGATTTTGAGCTTGGATTTGACTTTGCTTGGGTTTGTGAGTTTGCCCATGCACATGGGTCCGTTGGAACTGATCGAGTTCTCCAAAGCATTCCGAAGCGACATTGTCCTCATTCGGTTCTTACGCGACGCAGATCCACGGCCGTCTTCTCGCATGGCGCTGATGCAGTTTTCAACCGCCAACAAAGCCGCACAGTTCTACGAAGCATTCAACGGCTCTCTTTTCAATTCGATGGAGCCCGAACGGTGTCGCCTCGTGTTTGTCCACAAGATCGAGTTTATTCGAGAACAGCTCGTGCAATCTCCTCCGTTGGCCGTCAACGGCCACCCCGTTGCACAAGGCATGCTCCCTTCCTTTGCCACCGACGACCGGCGAGACGCGCCCGAAGGCCACGTGGAAATTCCGACCTGTCCGGTCTGCCTGGATCGCCTTGATTCGTCCGCTTCTGGCATTCTCACGACACTCTGCAACCACACGTTTCACTGCGACTGTTTGTTTCGGTGGGAAGGGTTTAACTGCCCCGTATGCAGATACAGCCACGGCGACATTGTGTCTGCATGTGAGGTACGTCCCGACAAGTCGCTGCAGGTCGTCCAACATGCCTTGTGTTGTCGAGGTGTGCAACACGACAGACCACCTTTGGATCTGCCTCCTTTGCGGCCACATCGGGTGTGGCCGGTACTCGAACGAACACGCCAAGAAACACTACCAGGAAACGCTGCACACGTACTCGTTGGAGCTCGAGACCCAACGGGTGTGGGATTACGCTGGCGATGGGTACAGGCTCTTTGGTTGGGTGAGCGTGAGCAATGGCACTCAACCGTGTTAGATATGTCCATCGCTTGATCATGAACAAGCAAGACGGCAAGTTTGTTGAGTTTCCCGACCCAAACGGCGCATTGGGGAACCGCGGAGAGGATGAGCACATGAAGTTAGAAAAACTCGCGTCCGAGTACAACTTGTTGCTGACGAGGTGGGTGGTCCTTCCAAGGCTCTGTCATGCTCATTCTGTCCGTCGTCGCTCTATCGGTTGTAGTCAATTGGAAGAGCAGCGCTTGTTTTACGAGCGGCGATTGTCCCAGCTCAACGAAACCGAGCACCGCCGCGCTGTCAGCATGCTCGAGCAAGAAAAGAAGGCGCTAAAAAAACTCAACGAAAACTTGATCAAAGAAACGACCAAGCTGAACGAAGACTTGCACTTTGCCCGGTTTGAACCCCCCACCCGTCGACGTTTGATAAAAGTGTTGCACAGGGAGCTCAACAAGTCGCTCATTGACAACCAACAACAGTGGAAAGAGCGCGTTTTGGCTGCAGAAGAAAAGGTCGCCACCATGGAAACGGACACCCAGCGCCGCGTCGACGATTTGGAATCGCAGGTCGGTCAGACTTGCGTGTTGCCCGCAGTGTTTTGCCGATCACCTCGCTCTTCGACTAGATTCGCGACCTCATGTTTTACCTCGACACGCAAAGTCGCGTTGAGAACAGTATTCACAAGCGAGAGATTCAGGTACTGGGAAATCAATGGTTGGCATTGAACGATGGTGGTGACGGATGGCTGCGATCATCTTGGTAGGGCGGCCAAGTGCTGGTGCAGGAGGCAAGGGCAGACGAGAAAGCCAAACCACGAAAAAGCAGCAAAAAGAGATAAAATGTCGACTGGATTCGTTTTTCAATGGATTCCTGGAGTGTCTACTGCAAAGCTGATGGACTTAATGGTATTCGTTGGCACCAGTCCACGGCTTTTCGTTTTCGTCGTTGTAATAGTCAAAGAGGGATGCCGGTTTGACGCCAAGGACGGGCTTCTTTTTGTGCTCGTCCATCGAGTCGACAAAAAGCTGCACGAGCTGGCCGTTCGTCAAGAGCGGGACGGAAAAGTCGGCCGCCGTCCGGCGAATCAAGTAGTTGTCCTTGACGCGCAACGAATCCGAGTTGGATAGGTTGATGACGAGATCGATCTTGCCGTCCTTGATCAAGTTGAGCGCGTTCGTGTCGTTCGAGAGCTCCGTCGACGGGCTGTACGCAACCAACTTGCTCGGGACACCGTGCTTGGTCAAAAACTCGTGCGTCTTCTCCGTCGTGTGCAATTCAAAGCCCAACGCGACCAACTTGTGCGCGTAGTGGATGGCTTCCGACGCGTACCGGTCCTGAAACGACAGCAAAATGTTCTTCTCGGGCAGGCGAAAGGTGGACGACACAAGGGCCTTCAAAAACGCTTCGTGCGTCGTCTTCCCAAAGCACGCGACTTCGCCCGTGGACGCCATTTCGACGCCAAGAAGCGGATCGGCCCCGCCCAATCGAGTGTACGAAAACATGGGGCTCTTGATACCGACGTACTCGGTCGGGCGGGTGGGACCGTACAGGGGCGGCAGGTTGTCGTTGGACGTATCTTCGCCGACAAACACCTTGGTCGCAGCCGCAATGAAGTCGGCGCCGACCGTCTTGGACACAAACGGGAAAGACCGAGATGCTCGCAGGTTGCACTCGATTGCCAGCACGTCGGCGTCCTTGGCAAGAAACTGCGCGTTGAATGGCCCGGAAATGTTGAGCGCCTTGACAATCTTCGCGCCAGCTTGGCGCACGCGGTCCACGTAGTACGAACTCACCGTCACGGGTGGCAGGATCAGCGTGGCGTCGCCAGAGTGGACACCGGCGTTTTCGACGTGTTCCGACACCGCGGCCGCAATGATGATGCCGTTGCGGGCGACACCATCCAATTCAATTTCACGCGCGCCGTCCACAAACTTGGAAATGACCACGGGATGGTCTTGCGACACCGCCGATGCTTCGCCAAGCACGCGTTCTACCATTGCAGATTTAAGAGCCACTTGGAACGTCAATCTAGAGTACCCAAGTCGCTATCGTTGAACGCCACATTCATAGCTGCCCCGGACAAGACGTATGACGGCCGCACCAAGCACGGGTAACCCACTTGATTGGCAAACTTGCGCGCAGCGTCCATGCTCGTGAGCTCCTTCCAAGCTGGTTGCGCGACCCCGATTTGATCCATCAGGTCGGAAAACTTGTGGCGATCTTCGGCCGAATCAATGTCCAAGGGACTTGTGCCGAGCACTTTGACGCCAACGTTATGCAGGGGAAGTGCCAAGTTGTTGGGGATTTGACCACCTAATGAATTATCCAGCGTTGGCACATCCAATCGAAACATCACTTACCGACAGACACAACTACGCCCTGCACGCCCTCGCGCTCGTATACGTCCAAAATGCGTTCCTTCGACAATTCTTCAAAGTAAAGTTGATCGCACTCGTCGTAGTCCGTGCTGACAGTCTCGGGATTGTAGTTCATCATGACAGCGCGGTAACCGAGGCGGCGCAACGTACGAATGCAGCTCACGGCGCACCAATCAAACTCGACCGAACTCCCGATCTACTTGTCAACATAAGGTGCCAAACATCGATTTCTTGATGAAACTCGACCCGATACGCGCCACTGCCCAACACAAGCACACCGTCGTTGGGCGCTTTGATGTCGACGTCGTTTTCGCTCGCGTTGTATGTCAAGTACAAGTAGTTGGTCTTGGCAGGGTATTCGGCCGCCAACGTGTCAATTTGCTTCACAACGGGGAGAATGCCACGCTTCTTGCGCTCGGTGCGAACTTGGTCGTCCGATACGCCCAACATGCGACCGAGCTGCTTGTCGGAAAAGCCCAATTCCTTCGCCGTTCGGAGCTCGTAGTCCGAGATCTACCAGGGCGGAATTTTAGTCCAAGATATAATAAAACACTGAGAACCTTGTCGAGCGATCCGACTTTCGTGATGTTGGCATCGCAGTCCGATATGCGCTGCAAGCGGCTGAGGTACCATGTGTCAATCTTGGTAATGTTGTGGACCTCGTCGATGGTCAACATGCCGTCGCTCAAGGCGCGCGCAATGTGAAAAATTCGCTTGTCCGTGGGGACTGCCAGCGACTTGATGAGCCCTTCCTTCGTAAACGGGTCTGCCTTGGGCTCAAACCCTGTGTTCGCTGGCTCCACCATGCGCAATGCTTTTTGAATAACTTCTTCAAACGTGCGACCGATCGCCATCACTTCGCCGACACTCTTCATGCTCGACCCAATCTCCGTCGATACGTTCTCGAACTTGGACAAATCCCATCGAGGCACCTTGGCGACACAGTAGTCCAAGGACGGCTCAAAGCACGCCGTTGTCGACTTGGTCACCGAGTTTTTGAGCTCGGGCAGGTTCACACCCAAGCCCAACTTGGCCGCAACAAATGCCAAGGGGTACCCTGTGGCCTTGGACGCCAGAGCAGACGAACGAGACAAGCGCGCGTTGACTTCAATGATGCAGTAGTCTTCATTGTGCGGATTGAGCGCGTATTGAATGTTGCATTCACCGACAATGCCCAAGTGGCGTACGACCTTGAGCGCAGTTTCGCGGAGCATGTGGTATTCGCGATTGCTCAGCGTCTGGCTCGGCGCAATTACGATAGAATCGCCCGTGTGAATCCCGAGCGGGTCAAAGTTCTCCATGTTGCACACCGTGATGCAATTGTCGGCGCTGTCTCGCACGACTTCGTACTCGACTTCCTTCCACCCCTTCATGCTGCGTTCGACGAGAATCTGCGGTGAACCGGCAAACGCTTTCTTTGCCATTTGCGTCAAGTGCTCCTTGTCCTCGCAAATACCGCTGCCCAAACCACCCAACGCAAAAGCTGATCGAATCATGACCGGGTACCCAATCGTGTTAGCCGCCGCAAGCGCTTCCTCGACCGACTCGGCCGTACGACTCGTGGCAATCTTTTCGCCGATTTCGTTCAGCTTGTCGTTGAAAATCTGTCGATCTTCCGTCGCTTCAATCACAGAGATCGGTGTCCCAAGCACACGCACGCCATACTTTTCAAACACACCCTACAATATCCGCAACAATTAGCTCGCGCAGTGACCACACAATGGTAGCCGACGAGGCAAGCACCTTGTGATGCAGCTCCACGCCGCAGTTCAGCGCCGTTTGGCCACCCATACTGATGAGAATTCCGTCCGGCCGCTCGCGACGAATGACTTGCTCCACAAAGTCAGCGTTCACAGGCAAGTAGTAAACGTTGTCAGCTTGGGCGGCCGTCTTGTCGGCGTTTGTTTGGACTGACGCAATGTTCGGGTTGATCAAGATCGTCGTGATGTTCTCTTCCTTGAGGGCTTTAATGGCCTGCGACCCAGAGTAGTCGAACTCGCCTGCTTGGCCGATGCTGAGCCCACCACTGCCGAGGACAAGCACCTTTTTGAACTTAGGTCGTTCGAGATTGGGCCGTTGCACCAGCGACTTGATCGACCCGGTTTCCTTGGCGCGAACAGCGTCGAGGAAAGTGTCGAAGAGGAAGGTCGTGTCCGTGGGACCCCCTGCGTGTTCCGGGTGGAATTGCGCCGTGAAGAATGGTTTCGTCTTATGGATGATGCCTTCATTTGTGCCATCGTTTCCGTTCACAAACAGCTCCTCCCACTCGCTCGGCAAGTCATGACCTTCCAGGGCGTACCCGTGGTTCTGCGACGTAATGTAACTCTGTCCAGTCTTCAAATTGTTGACAGGCTGGTTCTGACCACGGTTTCCAAACGGCAACTTATACGTGCCAGCACCAGCAGCGCGACCAAGCAATTGATTACCCAGACAGATACCAAAAATCGGCTTGACCTGGTTGCTGTTGATGACTTTTTTTAGCTGCTCCACGGTTTGCGTCAGCATCGACGGATCCCCAGGGCCGTTCGAAATGAAGAGCCCGTCGAACCAGTTGGTTTCACTCATAATGTCATGGTCCCAAGGCACAACTTTGACCTCTGCCCCGCGCTTGACCAGCTCGCGGATGATGTTGTACTTGATTCCGCAATCCACAGCCAAAATCTTCAATTGATTGCCCTTGCCATACGTCTTCACAGTCTTTGTGCTAACTTCGGCGACCAAGTTGCGCATATTCGGGTCGGCAAAGCTGGGTGTTTCGTTGCCTTCGACGACAATGCGGCCAGATATCGCCCCTTTGGCGCGAATCTTCTTTGTGATAGCTCGCGTGTCGATGCCTGCAATGGCAGGAATACCTTCTCGGACCAGCCACTCGCTCAACGACGACTTCGCATTCCAATGACTGTAGTGCGATGAGTAGTCTTGGACAATCAACCCCGCGGCATGAATTCGATTCGACTCGAGAAACTTGGTAAGCCCGTACTCGTCGAGTGTTTTTGTGCAAGGGACACCGTAGTTGCCAATCATGGGAAACGTCATATTCAGAATCTGGCCTTGGTACGACGGGTCCGTCAGCGACTCGGGGTACCCGACCATGGCGGTCGTAAACACAACTTCCCCTGCCATCGCTGTGTCTGCACCAAACGAAATCCCATAGTACTTGGCACCGTCGGCCAGTTCCAAGACGGCGCGCTTCTCAAACTTGGCAGCGCCCCGGCGGTCGATCAGACCTGTGGACAGGAGGCGTTGTCGGAACGACACCAAGGTTGCGGCACTTTGGCGGAGTCGATACATCGCGGCGAGGATGGACGTTGCTCCGCGACGGCCAAATTCGAATTTGTCACGTTCGTATCACAACGTTGAAGAAATTCTCCCGCCGATCTTTGATGGCCGCGTCCCACTGTATCACGGAGGGACGCAATCTCTCTATGCGGTCTATTTGACTGGATATTTGTATTGTCTTGTCCACATGAGCATGTCCCCCTGCCGCTTCAGTAGGTTCAACTCGTGTTTGATTGGCTAATGAACTATTGAACGGGATTTGATTGGCCAAAAAACAACCACAAGAACGCCGAGCGCAATTCGTCAACTGACCCTGCATGGCCACGTTCTTGTGGTGGCCAGCGCGCGACGAGCCCGCCCACTTGACCGATCGCAATGGGGACGAGGGTGTCGCGGCCTCTCGAAAAGACGACGGATGGTAGTTGAAGGACCGAGTACAGCGTGGTCGCGGGACCTTGCACCGTTCGTATCAGTCCGGACTCCTTGCGAAATACTAGTTCTATCCTGTCGGAATCACCGTCGTGCTTATGGTCATTCGAGCCACTGTTGCCAGACCATCTTGACCGGTGCAGAAAAGTCTGGGGAGTTGTAGACATAAGTTGTGGCTGTGGTCGACAGCCTCGTGAGAACTATGCCGACTAGAAATACAAGCGCACCCAAGTGACCCAAGTGACAGCATTGAAAGATGGAGTGACAGGTACAATGATTAGATATAGGACTTGTTGGAATAGAGCGGGCGAGTTGTCGTGGCTTTGGTGGTCGCACACGATCGCTCTTGTGGTGGTATCATGCGGCGTATTGACGTTTGGCGCGGTCGTGCTCTCTCAAGAGCATGCCGAATCCATGGTACACCTTTTGGTGCATCGCTTCATTGTCGGCTTGGAAGTCCAGTGACGTGTTGTCAACCTGGAGCAGCGACATATACGCGGCACCGCCAGCTTCCAACGTCCCCGTCGTCATGCCCACGATGTCTTTGACGTGTACGCTCTCGGTCTTTTTCAGCACCTGCAACCCTTCGTGCTTGGACAGAAGAAGGGTCATCATGTCGGGAGTGACGCGAATGCGCCACTTGGCGATCTTGACACCGCGGCTTTTCGTTTTGATACGCTTCATCACGATTCCATCGCTGCCGAGCTGGCGAACAAACTCGATGTATTCGGCTTCTTGAATCTCCTCATCTCGCAGATTCTCGTAGCTGGTGTCGGGGCGTTGTGGTACTGGGACCTTTGGCAGTTGTTGATAGTTTGGTGTTGCATATGCAATTGCGGAAGGAGACGATGTAGCCATCTTCGCACCAAGCCTTTGACTGCGAGGAGACACCATGCTGGCAGTTCGGACAGCCTTCATGAGTGGCTGGGCGTCGTTGGGACTTGTCGACAGCGACGCAATGAAGTCGTACCGCGATGCGTCGGAAGGATCGATGTGGTTTTTATCCGAATCATCCATATCGGCGTGTCCTGCCGCTCGTTGATCACGCGAGTGAATCGCTTGGGGATGCGTATGCGACGCAGCTTGGTACGGCAAGCCGTCTGCGGCACTATCGAGTCGTCGCTTTGATGTCCGCTTTCGACTTGACGACTTGACGTAATTGGTTGTGCTCACAGGAACGACGAGTATGAGGATGAGGCAAAGACCAATGGCCAGCGCAAACGAAAACGAGATGAAGTGACACACACTCGTGCATTCAAAGCTGGTGCCGTAGCCATCAGCAAAGTCCAGAGTCATTGTGACAGACGCGTTGGGAGCCACAACGGAATGGATTGTGTCGCTGTCGAGTTGCCGTGGGTTCTGTTCTGCAGACGTGCTGAGTGTGGTTGCGATTCCGACAAACGATGGTTGGTCGGCGAAGTTAAGCGGTGGTAAATGTTTGCTCGATTGTAAACGCCTGAAGAGAGCCTTTGTCGAGCCTGCACCATGCAATGCCAAGCTGAGCGCGACGATGGTAAGAGCATGACGACTCCTGCCACGACCCATCGGCACGCGAACTGTGGAATTGTAACTGTCACACTGCATTTTTCGGAAATTCTGCTATTTTCAGAAAAATATGAGAGTTTATCAGAAAGGATTACTTGTGAACACTGATAGAACAGCACAGATGTGCAAAAAAAAAATTTGCAATTCATGCGTTTTGGGTGAAAAAATCATGAAAATTTACCGAACGGACACTGGCATGATCAACACGAAAAATTATCGAAAGAATCTGCACACCGAGGAAACACTTGGCAGGCGCGACAAAGCACCTCGTCAAAGGTCATCCTGTGCCGCGATGGGTCACAGGGAGCTGATCGGCCGCATCTGCCATCAAGTGTGCGCGCTGTTATTGCTCGTTCTACTTTGCCTCGACCATCACTGCTGTGCTGGTCGTGACAATGCAGACAGCTTGGACTTCTTGACATCGCCAGCTGGACGCGCCTCAATCGACAAGACGATTGCGACCAGATTTTTGCAGTCAAATGAAGGATTGCTCAACTATTCAGACCCGTCGCAGTTTCCTACAGCCACACAAATGGCCCTCGTGCGTCGCACGGGCGGTTCGCTGCACTTTCACTGGTATCCTCGCATTGGGTACCTGTCATTATACCTGTCGTTATGGCATTGTTTGTGTAGGTTCAAGCCGCTATCTACCACCCATGTGCTATACGCGAACGGCAACGTCGTCGACTACATCTCAGCTTATCAAACTGAGTTCAAACTTGGGGGCTTGATCGCCAACACTTCATATTTTCTCGTGCTGACGGATATGTCTGCTCCAGACGGCGATAGCACTCAGGTCTTGATTGCGTCGGCAATGCAGCCAGATACTCCGGACCCGCCGACGTCTCTCGAAGTCATCGCAGTGCATGCAAGCTTTGCAGACATTGAGATGGACCTACCTGTGAACACGGGCGGTGTGCCGCTGTCGATTTGGTTGAATTGCTCCGTCACGAACGAATTTGACGAATATTCCTTCGCTTTCAACGTAACGGAAAGGACCATGCCAAGCGAAGGCAACACCGGCAACGACGACGTTTCCAAACGAGTGGGGGGTCGACTCACGGGCCTCAACGCAACAACAATGTACTTTGTCTCGTGCGCGGTGCAAAACGTCGCGGGCTTCGCCAGTCCAACTAGCGGGTCCTCAATTGCCTTCACAACAGGGGCCATCACCCAACCCAGCCGATGTACCGCTCCTCGACTGCAAAACATCACTGGTAAGCATCCATCGCGCCAGGACATGCATGGGCTGACGAGGATGAAGGTGGGTCCATCACATTGGGTTTCGACCCGCCGTCAGATACAGGTACGATGTTTTGTATTCCGTAGCTACAACCTGTTTCTGCTAGGTGGATCTCGGATTCTCCATTATCGCGTGTACGCCGCTGTAAACAACAGCATTTTGTTTGACGAAGTCGCCATCACGCCGGTTCCGACCATAACTTTATACGAACTCGAGAGCGGCGTGCCATTTACGACCGACACCGTGTACGAGTTTCGCGTCGTGGCTGAAAACGTAGCTGGAATGTGCTTTCCCCCCGGAGACACGTCGTTCCTGAGCGAATCGTTGGGCGTGACGTTCCCCGCGCCATCGCTGCCCCCTGCTATCCTCCCGCCGTACGTTATGCAAGCCGGGGCGTCGACGCTGGCCCTGCAAGTCGTGCTTCCCGACGACATGTATGGCACGTCCACCGTGTGGGGATACGTCGTGCAATGGAATACCCCTTTCGACGCCCCCAACACGTTTCCCCGCGCGACTTACGTTCCTTTGGCCGACTTCAACTCATACCAGTTTGTCCTGCGGCAGCTCCATGCGTCGACATCGTACAACGTGCGCGTGAGCCTGTTTACGGAGCTAGGGTATACCGTGTTTAGTCGTGCCATTACCGCATCGACTGGACCAGGGGTATGACTCTTCACCTTGACAACGGAACGAATACACCCCACATGGACGTTGCAAATCGTAGACACTGCCCGACTCCCCGCGCAGCGTCAGCGTGACTCGAACTGGTTCAACCTTTGCTGACATTGAATGGGCCATTCCTCATGAGACTGGAGGCGGGCGCGTTGTTGGTACCTTGCCCATCGAAAGGTGGGTTTGACGATTGCCCTGTAGGCTACAAGGTGTACATCGTGGCCGTAATGCTGGACGACACGCCGTTTCAACCATCTGAACTTGTTTACTTGAACATGTCGGAGGGAACTGTCCAGACGCAAATCACGGGCCTTGTCCCCCTCACAAGCTACAACGGGTCGATTGTCGTTCGGAATGAATTTGATTTGTACTCCACAGTCGTCGAGTCGTTTGCTTTCACCACGTCCAGTGCGAGCGCTCCGTGGACCCCTCAACGCATGTTTGTGATTGCAGCGACTGGAGGCATGCTTCAATTCACGTGGAGTCCACCGGCAAATGAAGGAGGCGCGGGCAAGGTCACCTACTTTGTCGAGCACTCAAAAGACGGCAAGACCTCGACCCTGTGCACGAACACAACGACGTCGTGCAGAGCGTTCGGGCTGTCCTTCAGTACCGCGTACATCGTCTCTGTGCGAGCTCAAAACGACCTCGGCTCTAGCCCCCCCACAAGTCTGCAGTCATTTTCCACAACGTTTGTTGAACGCAACGACAGCTTCATGCACTTACATGGATGGTACTAGACTGCCGACCCCGCCATCACCGATACGAGTGTTGTCTGCGGTGACCAAGTCCAGTGGTAGCGTGCTCTTGCAATGGGTAGCGCCTCAGGTAAGACGACTTGGATGGTGCAACACTTTCACCTTGTTGCAGGATCTTGGTGGCGTCGCTGCAGCAAGCTACCGTATAGAGCGAAATGGAACATATCTTGGGACGACCTCGTCGCTGACGTTCACGGATTGCATTGGAGTCCTCGCTGGCCAACTCTACGTTTATACAGTGTTCGCTGAGACCTTGTATGGTCGAGGACCACCGAGCTTTGCAAGAGCCCGGACGGGAACCGTGCAACCTCCCGGTCCTCCTACAGTTTCCTTGGCTGTGGCAAAGTCACGTTCAGCTGTGATTGCATACCAGCCATCATGCGACACCGGCGGATCCATGACCGTTCAAGGTTCATACACTTGGCAAATCGTCCCAACGTTTACTCCGATCGATGCTCCCGCATTATTGGCACCGATGGCATCCAATTTCACGTTGATGGGCCTTGAGCCTGGCCGTCGATACCGTGTGATGGTGTGGACATCTACCGGTGGTGGCATGAGCACCACGACGGCACTGGACCTGTTTACCCACAGCGGAATTCCACCATCGCCTGGGCATGTGTCGCTATCGAGGGCTTCAAGCTCAGACTTGGAATTCACTGTGTGGCCACCACGCGATTTTCCTGACGATTTTGTGGACATCGTGCTGACGATCACCAACGTCGTCAACAAGAGTGTTTCGTGGAGGGTCTTGAGCAATGTCGCCGTCACCACGCCTCAAATTGTCGTTGTACCCGACTTGAGCGCTGGCACCATGTATGCCGTACAATGGACCGCCCAAACCGCGATGGGCTCCAGTTCTTCGATGACGGCCTCCTTTGCCACACTCCCGGCGCAACCAGGTATGTCGTTGTGTCGTCGAGTCGCGTCCGTTCCTCATCTCGGTATTGAAAAGGCTACGTGGCATTCCAAGACACATCACTGACCGTCACAAATGGGACAGCCAATGTACTCTTGTCGTTGAGTCGATGGAACGGAACTCAAGGCAATCTCCTGGTCACGTTGGCGTTCACATGCGTGCCCACCATGTTCCCGACTTGCACGTGCACGGACAATTGTGTTTGTGATTTTTCATCGACTCCACCCAAGTCGAGTCCGGTCGTCCCAAGTGTCGTGATGTCTCCGACGACCCACGCCAAGTCCATCCTGTTGCGGACATGGAACAGCGCTGTCGTGGATCAAGTCCCGCACGTACTGAATGTCACGTTGACGACCAACAGCTCCATGCCCGGTCCTAATACGTCTTGCGTTGTGTCATTGTACGGCAACGCTGGAAACATCTCGACAGCATCACCCAACTTTACAATCGTGGATACTGTCGGTGCATTTCAAATCCCGCTGGTTCGGCGAAACGGACTAAGTGGTTATGTCGAGGTGATCGTGACGAAAGTCACTCGAATCGAATACCAACAAACCTGGCCAGTTCCCAATGCAAGCATTCCATTTGACTGGCCGTCGTCGCTGGTGTTGGCACCGCGACAAGAGAACGCATCGTTTGGTTTGTTTGGTATCTCGCCCAGCGTATCGTACATGCCCTTCGGCCAGCAGTATTTGTTGCAATTCGAAACAAATGCAACGTGGCCAAGACCGACATTTCAAGTGGTTGTGACGCTCATTGACGACCCCTTGGTCATGAAAGCGCCCCTTGCCGTGCCCAACGACATCTTGCTCCTTCAGAGAGCGACAGGATCGCTTCTCTCGCTACGTTGGCAACGCCTCACGTACCCCCCGGGGGTCGTGTACCGGTACAATGCTGAGATTTCTGGCCCGTACAATTCGATCGTGGTCGATCCACGGAGTATGACGTGGTCGCTTGTTGTCGTCGATGTACCTCTTGTGGACTTTTACAACCTGGTGCCTCAATCGTTGTACTTTGTTCGAGTGTCCGCAACGAACAACGCAAGCGTGGGGCCTTCAACAACTGCGTACCCATTTTGGACGACTCCTCCTGGCCCGGCAAGTCCTCCCCTGGACCTCGCTGTGTCTCGCGTCACGGGTGGATCGATGATAGTTGCTTGGCGTCCACCTCTCGACACGAGTGGCATTGCCGTCGAGAGCTACCTCATCAAGGTGTACATCGAGTCGTCGCTCGTTAGCTCGTCTACGACGAACGCGTCAAACACGTCGCTCGTGATATCGAATCTCATGGCGTCTACTCTGTACACTGTGTCCGTCGGTGCCAACACGAAGTTTCCAGCAGCGTGGTTTACGTCGATTTCCCAGTCCACTGTAATTGGGGGTACCATACCCACGGCTCCGTTGCCGCCATTGCTGCAGCAAGTGACAGGGGGTTCCTTCACATTGCTCATCGTTCCTTCGGACGACAATGGCGGGTATGGCCTCACGAAGTATACCCTGTTTATCAGCCCCGGTGGAAAAAACAACTTTACCATTGCGTGTATGGCCTCCACGCCGAGTTGCACCGTGAACCGCCTCACGCCAACGACGACCTACGACGTCTACGCGACGACGATGAACCCAGTGGTTGGAATGCGATCCAAATGTCAATGCTAGAGATTCACGGTATGTGGTAGGGTACGAGTGCACCTGGTCCCGTGACGACCGTTCGCACCATCGCAATGACAGTGCCAAGTCCGCCATTGAACGTCCAACTTGTGGAAGTGACGTCGACTGTCGCGTTGATTCAGTGGGTGCCGCCTGTGGATTTCGGAGGCACCGCATTGTTGACGGGCTACCAGGTCCAACGGCAAAAGTTCATCCCAGAATTGAACGTGTGGTCGCCATCGGAAGTGGCCCAAACCATGCCTCTCGATGGCGTTGCAACTCAAGCCAAAGTGATCAACCTGTCCACCATGACGCTGTACATGTTTTCTGTCGTGGCGCTCAATCCGGTCAGCGCTTGCGTATCCTCTGACGCATATAACAGTAGTGGACCCCTCCTGGTTCGAACGACTGTGCCAACAAGAGCTGAGCCCCCAACAAATGTTGTGTTTTCTGGCAAGTCGGGTAGCTCGCTCTCGCTCACTTGGACACGTCCGTTCGACGACGGCGGCGCGCCCATCTCTGGATACGCTGTATACACACCAAACGGGGATCGTCTGGCGGTCGTGAACGGCACATCGTTTACCCAGTTTGGCCTGAATGCCAATACAACGTATTCGTTTTGGATCACAACAATCACCAGTCAAGGTGAGAGTGCACCCAGTAACATTGCGACGTCGAAAACAACCCTCGTCTCGGCCCCATCGGCTCCACGGAATATCGTTCAAGTCAATGTCACAGGCGGCATGGTGACCCTACAATGGGATTTTCCGGCCGACGACGGGGGTGGTGCGATCTTTGGCTACAACCTGTATCGGAATGGCGCGTTGTTGGCAAGTCTTCCGTTGGTTCAGTCGTATGTCGACCGAAATGGGCTTCAGATGAATCAAAAATACGTCTACGCCCTTGCGGCAATCAACGCGTTTTGTGAAGGCAGTCAAACCACGATCACGGCAATCACAAACTCGGTTCCAGGTGTCCCACAGATGCCTCTCCTTACTGTCAGCGCGCTCACGGGTGGTATGGTTATCGTCCGCACGACACTGCCCTCGGATATGGGCGGCGCTCCGTTCCAGAGCACTCGACTTCAGCTCCTGGACTCCGACTCGCAACTGATGCAGGAGATCGACTCTGTCGATTTGTTGGACACGCCGTTCTACGGACTGCACTCGTTTACTCGGTACATCCTACAAGGCCAAATTACCACAACTGGCGGCGTGAGCGCACTTGCATCCATCCCGGTGATTACAACAAACATCACAGTACCCAGTCCCCCATCGGCACCAATTGTGAAGAGCGCAACGGGCGGAAGCATTCAGTTGTCCCTGTTTCAAGCGTTGGACCAAGGAGGTGAAAACGCGACAATGATCTTAAGTCACAAGTGGATTGGATCGGACATGTTTGAGCGGGTTCCATTTCAAGTGGCAGGGACACGAGTTGTCACAGTCAGTGGCCTGAATGCCAACCGCAGCCACCAGTTTTGGACGACTTCGTTCAACTCGGCCGGCGAGAGCTTCCCTTCGCCGTCCATTATGGCGAGCACGACGGATCTGTCGCTTCCTGAGCAAGTGCCAGACACGATTCAAATTGTCAGCAAATCATATCGAAGTCTGACTACAGCGTGGACTCCGATTCTGGACAACGGTGGCGACAGTGTCAACCATCTATCGTACAACATCTGCGTTACATCGTCCACACACACGCGGTGCATTGCGACAACTGAGCCAGCAGCAACCATCAACGACCTGACTGCTGAGACCTCGTACACCCTGCAAGTTCAAGCGATCAATTCGGTCGGTGGTGGCCCGTGGAGTGTCGTATCATCCGTCACGACGGACGATGCAGTACCAGGAGTGTTGCAATTCGTCGCGCAATCCGTGCAAGTGCTCGAAAACTCCACGACAATTGTCTTGGTCGTGAGTCGAACCTCTGGCACAGCAAACACGATTTCGTGCACCATTGCAGCAACCAGTGGATCGGCCGTGGCGACGACCAACTACGTTTTCCCTGACACGACTTCTTTGACCTTTGTGGATGGGGAGACCGCCCAAGAAATCACCATCCAAATCGTCAACAACGAAGTGGTGGACCCACCACGGTTCTTTGATGTCGCTCTGACAGGCATGACGTCGGAAACCGGCGCGCTGGGCACAAACCAAACGTGCCGAGTCACGATTCTCGACGACGGTGACGCTGGCCAAGTGAGTTTTCGAAACACTTCGTTCACTATTTTCGAAAGCCAGTCCAACGCTGTCCTGGAACTCCGCCGAACGCCGACCCGTACTAGCGGCACGTTAACAATTCAAGCATCGTTTCGACAAGCGCAGACGGCAGTGGCATTTTTGACCTCGGTTGTCTCGTTCGCCGATGGTCAAACGGCTGTAAACTTGACCCTCGTACCAATCCGCGACGAACTGTACAACTATCCGTTTCGGACCGCTCTTGTCGACATCGCTATTGCTGCGGAGAGTGCCGGGGCTGTAGAATCTCCCAGTTCGACGACAGTGTTCATTCTGGACGATGTAGACGTGGCCGCTCCCGACGACGCGGGCATTGTGCCGATCCAAGTTAGTACGTCGGGGGGATTCATAACCGTGCAAGTGCCGCCGCCACGCCACGTGGGTGGATGGAATCAATCCTTGGTTTCGTACCGCGTCAACATGACGAACGCAATGGGGCAAGTTGTGTCGAGCCTAGCCCAACACACGTTGGTGTTTTCCTTCGGTGGACTCAACTTCTCGACACTGTACACGTTTCAAAGCGCTGTCATGAATCGCGCGGGGCTTCTGTCGATGGGCAGCGGCACCGTAGACCTCTCGACAGGACCGATGTCATTACCATCTCCCCCGACAAATGTTCGCGCAGTCGGGGCAACCGGAGGGTCCATCGACGTTTGCTGGGCACTGCCCCAAGACTCAGGGGGAATCCCCATCACAGGCTACCAAATTGAGTACTTGGGTGCTATCGTGTTCAATGGAACCACACCGTGCGCTCACATTTCAAACCTTGGACTGCAAGCAAACGCCTCGTACTCGTTCAACTTTTATGCCACCAATTTTGTCGGGGTCGGACCGCCCGTCACTGTAGCGTTGCCCACGGCCACGAATGCAACACTGCCTGCCGAATTGGGGCCGCCAAGCAGTGTCGTTCAAGGTGGAGGAGACTCGTTGGTGGTTCAATTTCGACCCCCTGGAGACACGGGAGGGATCGATATCCTCCGCTACTTGATCTACATCAACACAACCAACACGACGGACCAAACGACGACAACGAGCATCTTCACCGAGTACATGGTGAACTCAACCGGTCGTGTTGCCTTGACCGGGTTGAGTTCCAACACGCTGTACATTGTCAAGTACACAGCGTGGAATGCGCTGGGAGGTAGCAGCATGAGCAGCACGTACCAGTACACAACTGGTCCACCGACGATCCCGTCAGAGCCCCGCAACCTTCGCTTGGATCGCACAATGCCAACGACTGGAGCTTGCATTCCTCTCATCTGGGACACCCCGGAATCGACTGGAGGGCTTCCGTTGGCAGAGTATCACATCTACGTGACCAAGTTCTCGTCATCGAACGACGGAGAAGCTGTTCCCTTAACGAATGCAACGCAAAACCTGACATTTGCCAAGGTCTTTGTTGGCCCAGCGACCACCACATCCACAATCGTGTGTGGCTTTGACCAGCGAACGTCGTACGTGTTCAAAGCGCTGGCGTACAATGCCGAGTCGTTTTGTTCTGGTGGGACAAATGACATGCCATTCAGTCAACTGCTACTGGCGACCACGTCGAATGCAAGCGTCCCATCGCGTCCAGATCCCCCGCAGGTCGTCGCGTCAACGGGAGGGATGATCACATTGGCATGGTCGCTGCCACGGGATACTGGCGGTGCCCCCCTGCGAAGGTTTGACGTGTACTTGATCGCATCCAATGGGTCCATGCTTGTCCAGCGCGTTACTGGCACCGTTCTCGCACAAACCTGTGACGTCACCGGCCTGGATGAGCTCAAAACGTATGAATTTCAACTCACAGCTGCCAATGACATTGGCGTCAGTGCACCCAGCTTGAGTGTTCTTGGCCGCACCACGACCGTGACGTCTCCGTCCAAGCCACTCAACATGATGCTGGTGAGTCCATCGGGGGGCTCCATTTTAGCATCGTGGCAGGCGCCCCAGGATACCGGTGGCCGTCCGATTGTGAGTTATTTCGTGTATCGCGACAGCGTGAAGATTGGCGATTCTTACGGAACCACAACGTTCCTCGATCAATCCAATCTCATGGCGGACTCGGCGTACTCGTACTTTGTGATTGCGTACACGAGTGTCTCGTACGGCCGACAGAGTGACACCTTCGTGGCCAGGACAAGCTCTGGGTCATTGCCCGGGCTTTGCACGAACATCACTGCAGAGGCGACGGGTGGTTCGTTATCGGTAGCATGGCTTCCGCCGCAAAACTCGGGCGGTCTCCCGATTGTGTCTTATACGGCGGCACTGTTCCAGAGCAAACGCCAAGTAGCCCTGACGACGACGGCCAAACCCGCGGTGATCTTCAACTTGTTGCAGAATGGAACGACTTACCTTTTCATCGTGAACGCAACCAATGCCATCGGGTCCAGCGCAGCTGCCCACGCAATGTTGACCACCACGACTTCAACCGCACCTGGCGCCCCACCAAGTGCTCCATTGGCGATATCCATCTTTGGCGGAAACGCCACGCTCTCCTTGGATTTGTCGCCTGACACGGGGGGCGAAACCACAAATTTGAGCTATGTCGTGTTTCTGAATGACCGCCTTGTGGTGACAGTGCCATCGTTTGGGACTCGTGCCACTGCCACCATCTATGGGCTGGTTGCAAACACAACGTATCGACTGACCTACGCTTGCTCCAACATTGTTGGGCTCAGCACGACGAGCCCAACGCTGCTGCTACGAACGGCAGTGGTCAACGCCCCCGGGTTCATGCAAGTTCCGTCCGTAAGGAGTACAACTTCTCGGACAATTATGTTGGATTGGATCCCTCCGGCCGACACAGGTGGGAGCACGGTACTGCGATACGAAATCGACGTGGCTGGAACGAGTTGGGTGTTTGCGAACGTCACCAGTGGGTTGGTCATGTCGCTGCAGCCCGAGTCAACTTATAGCTGTCGAATACGGGCAGTGTCCATGACAGGGGGCCTAACCGGCCCGTGGAGCGCATTCGTTCAAATCGCCACGGCCCCTGCGTCCGCTGGAAAGTTTACCTTTGGCACTGCTTCGTCGTCGGTCCTGAAGAACGCCTCCACGTTCACCTTGCCGATTTATCGGGTTCAAGGGTCGGTAGGCGCAGTCCGGGTGACGTTGACAACGTCAAACAACTCTTTAATCGGCACTCAGTTTGTCCTGGACCCTGCAAATCCAACGGCAACTCGGCGGACCATTGCATTCGACGACGGAACTGTTCAAGTAAACGTTGTTCTGAAGATCCTGAACGATGGCGTGTACACTGCGGAGGGCGTCTCGATCCTTCTTCGACTAGTTGAACCGATGAATTTTGCCGCGCTGAGCACTGACTTCAACTCGACGACGCTGGTCCTGCAAGATGCTGGAGCCGCGGGTCAAATCAACTTTGTCAGCACCAGTGCCGCTATCCTTGAAAGTGCATCAACTTTGATACTTCCCCTATCACGGATCGGTGGAACGAGCAGCATCGTGCAAGTCCTTGTTCGGGTGGTTCCAAATACACATGGAGCGTCGCCCGCTGCCATTGGAGTGGACTATCGATTGCCCACGACCCCGATTATTCGATTCGATGACGGCGACGCCACGGCCAACGTGTCGGTCATCATTCGCAACAACAACTTCTACAGCTTTCCGCCGTTGGGATTTACCCTCCAACTCGTCGTGTTCTCCGGTGGCGCAATTATCGGAGCAAATAGCACGGTGGCTGTGACCCTCTTGGACGACGGCGACGTGTCACCCCCTTCTCCCCCGGGGCCGCCGACAGTTGTGTCTGTCACTGGTGGCTCTGTCGAGCTGGCGCTGGTGGCGCCGGTGAACAAGGGTTACAAAGATGCAGAAATCACGCAGTTTCAGGCAGTTGTCACAAACACAACGTCGACAATTGTTGATGCAGGTGGCGGAACAAGGCGAGTGGGTGGCCTGCTTGCCAACACGAAGTACGAATTATCTGTTCAAGCAGCAAACGATGCATTCACTCCAACCAAGTTTGGTGGCACCAGTCCAACCGTTGTATTCACCACGGGGGCTCCATCCATGAATGGTCCACCTTCCTCGCTGCAGCTGGTGTACCGAACGGGTGGTTCGTTGAAATTGACATGGTCCATCCCTCTCGACACGGGCGGCGTCCCCATTTTGCGATACCGAGTCAAGTGGACCGACGAGCTGGGGGTAGCGAAGGTAAACGCTCTTGGCCATAAACAAGAACGGTGCTGTCCTCACTCCATCACAATTAGACTGGAGAAACGCTGAATTCGACGTACAGCATCTTTCAGCTCCGGTCGAACTCGTCGTACATTGTCCAAGTTCAGGTACGAAACGATTCATTTTCAACGACATGTAGATGTGACGGTGACTGGAGCAGTGTAACAACGGCGTGCCCAACTCGTTGACGCAAGGGTGGGGTCCCTACAGTGCCCCCGAATTGTTTCAAACCAGCGACACAACGCTGCCAGGACCCCCGACACAAGTCGTGGCCGATCCTGTGCGATCTGGAGGCAGTGTCAGCATGACGTGGAATTCCCCCCTCGACACGGGCGGACAAGACATTGCTCAGTACCTAGTTGTGATGAAGCTCGCGAACGAATCCAACTTTCACGTCGCGCCGAACCAAGTAGCGATTGACTCGACTCGAATTAAAGTGTCTGGCTTGTACGCGAACACCATGTACAATTTCCGCGTGATGGCGCAAAACACGATGGGCGACGTTGTCCTGCCCGGCGCGTTCAATATCAGCAACAAAGCGCTGTCCATTACATCCTCCGCTGACGTCGGCATGTCCTGGATTCGTCCAGGGGCTGCGATCATGATTGAGGCACGTACACTGCGTCATCCGCTTCAAGTAGCTGACCTTGAAATCACTTCTAGAATTTCTACTTCACGGTCGGCCGTGGTGTGACAAAGAATGTCATTCCCGTCACGACATCCCACATGTTTGCCACAGTCACGAACGCGATTGGAATGCTCGTTGGCGAAGCCAGTAGCGCCATCAACATCACGACTGCATATCCTACGCTGCCGGAAACTCCAGAAGCCCCCGTCATCTCTCGAGTTACTGGTGGTGCAGCGTTCGGGTATTTTGTGTCGCCCGTGGATACAGGTGCACACTGCGGACTGGATGAAAGCCTCACCAAACTGTAGGGGGCGTTCGTGTGCTGGGGTTTAAGGTTTACTTCACCGACGTGGCCACCAACAAAGTCGTTGAGGTATCGTACACCTTTGGGTGAATTCGTTGTGTGCTGATGGAGACTTGAACAGGCTGTCTCGACGAACGATGAAGATGCAAGTCCAGTTGTAGGGCAGCCCCTAGCACGCAACGAAAGCTTTCAAATCACCGGACTTGAGCCGTTGCGCACGTATCAACTTCGCGGCCTTGCTTTGAGTTCCTTCTCGAGTTGCACAAATGAGTTGGCACCCACTAGCCCGACAGTCGAATTCCAGACGTCCAAGGCCACAATTCCGGACCCTCCCGTCAGCTTGGTGGTGGTGCTGGCTACAGGTGCAGGATTCAAGTTTTCATGGAGCCCCCCTGCCGACACGGGAGGCGTCAACATCACGCAGTACACGCTTCAGATGTTCAACGAATCGATCCAAGAGTGGGCGACCGAGTACTCGAATGCATCGACAACCTGCCGAGTCGCGAAACTCGCAACAAAAACGTCGTATCGGTGGCGATTGCAGGCTGCCAACAGTGTTGGGATATCTGATTTTTCATCTGTTTGGACGTACTCGACAAGTGTAGTCAGCCCCCCTGGCCCCTGTCGATCCCCGATTCAAATGGCATCGACAGGCGGCATGATCTCTGTCTCATGGGACCCACCTGACGATAACGGGGGGTCTGATGTCACATCGTACATTTTGGAGTACAGCGACAGCGCGGCCGGCCCGTCTCAGCGAATTGTTACAAAACCTACAAGCACCAATATCTACGGCCTTCGAGCACTCACGACGTACACGGTCAAAGTCATGGCGGTGAACCGCATTGGAGCTGGAGAAGCTGGAATAGAAGGCACCATGTCCACGGGGCGTCCGTCGCCACCAAACGTTCCGGACCCCCCTGTGATCACTGAGTCATCTGGCGGGGCGCTTGTGATTTCGATGAAACCTCCACTCGACATTGGCGGTGTCGATCCTGCCACGCTGTTTTACGAGATTTACGCCAATGGCTACGTTGTCCTGAACATTTCGTACCTCCAACTTGTCGAGCAAACCAACAGTGAGAGCAATCAGCGGCGCCTGCAAGCGTCACAGGGCAGTGGCGTCACGGTTGGAGGGCTAGACTCGAACAAGAAATACAGGATCAGCGTTGCGGCGTCGAGTCCGGCCGGGTCGAGCCCCAAGTCGGTCCAAAATGAAATGTCCACGTCAGCGCCAACGGTGCCTGGCATCCCCAATGCTCCGACGGTTATTCAAGCCAACGGCGGGTCCCTCGTCGTTGGGTGGACGTCGCCAGCAGACGAAGGCGGGGCGTCCGTCAGCTCGTTTCAACTTTTCAACCTAGCAAGTCCATCTACTCCGGTGTGCCAAGGGCTCATCTGGCAGTGCATCGTCACTGGACTGCTCTCGAATTCTGCGTACGAGTTTGTCGTTGTGGCACAAAATAGCATCGGGCTGTCCCCCCAAAGCGCCATTCTCAAGGCAAAGACGACGCTGATTTCGACACTTGGCCCTCCCCAAAGGGTGCGCTTGGTGTCACTCGCGGCCAACGGACAGGTAGCAACGATTGCATGGTCGCCACCGCAAGATACGGGCGGGCTTACGTTGTCGGGCTACACCTGCACGGCCGAAAAAGCATCCGACCACTCGCACGTGAGCGTCACTGTCGCAACGACTGAAGCTCAGCTGTCGCTGCTTTCACCAGGCGCGACCTACACAGTCACTTGCGTACGTGGCTTATGTCGTCGCGAGTGTTGTCTAACAAGATATCGTTTAGACCACAACGAACATTCAATTCGACACCAGTGCTGCCAGCGGAAGCATTACGTTTACAACGCCACCTGGGAACGGGTCGCCCGTCGTGCCCATAATTTCCTGCGGTAGGGTTATCATGTTGGTTAACACTGCTGCAACTCAGCTTTTTGTTGTTGTTCCAGTGAGCCGGTCGTCAGTGAGTTTGATCTGGGAACCCATTGCTGACGCGCGAAGTTATGCATTGTACCGAAACGGCGTGTCCGTGTACACGGGGCCAGCGACTGCATTTTGGGACGGTGGGCTGGCGGCCAGCACGAGCTACTCCTACGAGTTAAGCTACACCACATCGAGTCAGGTCGAAAGCTCGAAAGCCACAGCAACTGTGTCAACGGGAAGTAGCACCACGCCGACATGTGCGAGCCAAACAGGATACATTTATCAAGGACGGTATCCAAACAGTTGGAGGCATTCATGGATGATCGCCCCGGCGAGTGGTGTGTTCTCGTCCATCTTGCTTGAGGTAGCCTTCTCCCATGTAGTTGCAAGTCTTGACTGTCGTGCTAGTTTACTCGCTTCGACATCGAATGCGATCACGATGTTGTCACGGTGGAATACGCTCCATACGACGGATCGTCCGTGCTGTGGTCTGGAGGGTGTATGCGAGCGACCTCATTTTCACTGTACAGCACCAAAGCCAACGCGCCGGTGAAGATTACCATCGCCTCCGACATGTCCGTGCAACGGGAAGGGTTCGAGCTCTATTACAAAGTGGACACGGACCCGCCATCGTCCGTAGTACCGTCATGCCCTCGAGCAATCGGTCGTAACGTTTGCAGTAACCACGGCGTGTGCACTCCAACTGGAGAATGCAAATGTAACCTTGGTAACGATGCCGCCGCCCCCCTCCTCCGTGGACAAAGATCTCTGACGATTTGCACATTGTGGACAGGATTTACTGGCGAGGATTGCAGCAACTACATCGTGTGCTGCACGGATCCAAGCGTTTGCCATGACCAAGTGTGCGATTCAAGACCACAAGACGTCATCTTGGTGTCGACGACGACGGGCGACGACGTTGAAGGAACCGGGGAAATGATGGACGCAGGCGACGTCCGCGGCACGGCGGCAAAGCCATTTGCCACGTACATGCTCTGTTGCTCGCGACAGCCCTCGTGACGGACCGTTCTGTGGTAGGTTGACCAAAGCGCTCAGTGTAGCCACAAATGCCAGCGTCATTCTGATGTACCCTGGCGTGTACAAGGCGGCTGGCGATTGCTCTCTCTCGTTCACTCAACAAAACGTGGACATCCGCGGTTTTATGGGCTCTGACTACGTCGTATTGGAATGCTCGTCGTCAGGAATGACCATGTCGGCGAGCAATGCCAGCATTCACGGCATGACTGTCCAAAGCATAGCATCAACAACTCCGGGGGCTGCGTTCAATGTGCAACGAAGCTTCCTGTCGCTGACGGACGTTTGGGTACATTGACTCAACGAAGATTCAAAGTGGGCGTAATTGAGTACAAATAGGTGCGCAACTGCCGGAGCGACGTCCAAGGGGGCGGCATCTACGCGGACGAGTCTGTGATCACATTTGCGCGCTCGAGCGTGTCGAACTGCTCTGGAAGTCAAGGAGGCGGAGTGTATGCGGCAAATAGTCGACTCTCGATGCATGCCACACGAGTGACTGCCAACCAAGCCACGAATGGAGGTGGTATTTTCGTGTCGGGAGTGTCCGATGTACGTGGAAATGGTGCCATCATTGCAGACAACCAAGCGAGCAACACGGGCGGCGGTGTCGTGGCGCACGGCGTCGTGTACCTGACTGGGATGACAATAACAGCCAACACAGCCATGTTTGGCGCCGGCGCGACCTTGAGTGGCCAAGTGCAACTCGAGCATGCTGCTTTGGACGCAAATCATGCAAGTCAATGTGGCGGCGGGCTGTACACCCAAGCGGCGCTTGACTTGACCTCGAATGACGTGATGGTGTCCAACAATGCGGCCGTGGTATCGGGCGGGGGTCTCTATGTTCACAACACTACCTTGTCCGTTGTGAGTGTGACCAGTGTGTTTCAACACAACCAAGCTCGAGATGGCGGTGGTATCTATCTCCATGCGTCCAACGTGTCGTTGGATGGCGTCATGCTCACTGCCGGGAATGCCACAACTGGACGTGGTGGTGGGATCGCAACCCTTTCAAGCGACGTTCTAATCACACGTTCGTCTGTGGACGGAAACTTTGCTCGTGTCGGAGGCGGGGTTTCTGCGATATCCGACTCCAAAGTGACCCTGGTCGACGTCAACGTCGTCAACAACATGGCTAGATTTGGCGGCGGAATTTCCGTGGACACGTCTGTCGTTGTCGGGGGAGTGGTGCAAGAAAACGTTGCCACCGAAGGTGGGGGTGGCATTCTCCTCAAGGATGGCAGCATCCGCGGCGCTCAGATTCGATCCTGCGACACGTTGGGTCACGGAGGTGGCCTTTACGTCAGTCCAAGCACGTTCAACTCGATCACAGACATCCAAGTGACCGACTCGGCCAGCAGTGGCAATGGCGGTGGCATGTACTGCGAAAACACGTCCGTGGCCCTGTTCAATGTGCATTTTATCGGAAATAATGCCAGTCAGCATGGCGGGGGACTGTTTTTGAGCACCACAACAGTCACTGGGCGATGCCACGCAGCGAATTGCAGTGCTGCTTTGTCAGGCGGAGGGGTCAGCATTGTTGGAACGGTCGGAATCGATGCCGTTGACATCGAAACGTCGCAAGCCTCCATTGGGGGCGGCTTCTCGGCCATGGATTCGACCTTCGTGGTGCACCGCTCCAACATCGTGGCCAACGCTGCAGCGACCCATGGCGGCGGCGCATACATCCGCGATTGCCAAGGCGTCGTTGACAACTGGGACTTGCGCAGCAACACGGCGGGAATCAACGGCGGTGGGTTGATCATCATCACGTCCAATGTGCTCCACAACAATCTAATGGTGGTCGAGAACCAAGCAAATAACTTTGCTGGCGGGATGTATATCGATGGCAGCAGTCTCGTTCCCAAAGCCCCTGGGGCCGTTTCGACCGTTCACAGGAACAGAGCGTACAACGGAGGCAATGTCGGCGTCACTGGTCCATCTGAACTCGTGAGCTTCACTGTCGGTGGAGGGCTCGCGGTCGACGGAGGTGGCATGTACCTCATCGATTCGACGAGTCAACTGGAAGACTTAGCCATTACGGGAAACCATGCTCTAAACAACGGTGGTGGGATGTTTATCAAGATGTCGACGGCCACGCTGTCGAGCACGCTCGTCAAGGAGAACAGTGCGGTATATGGTGGCGGCATCGCTTTGTCCAACGCAAACGTCTACCATGCCAATGTGAGTGTCATCCTGAACCAAGCAGGGTCATCAGGAGGGTTGCACATGGGCGGAACATCTTCGTTTCATTCGCGCGCAGAGTCGACGATCTCCCAAAATGACGTGTGCATGACGATGTGTGGTTTTGGCGGCAACATTGGCGTATATGAATTTTCCAACGCCAGCATCTCGGGCGTCGTCGTGTCGAACGGAACGAGCAACTACGGTGGTGGTCTTTTTGTGTTTTTTGGGGGAAATGCTGTCATGACCAACGTGGCGTTTCGAAACAACGTGGCAGCCTTTGGCGGGGCGTACTCGGCGTACCAGCGAACCAACACGTCGTTTGAAAATTGCTCGATCGAGGAGAATACAGCGACAACGAGTGGTGGGGCGGTCTTTGTGCCTTACCCTGTCAGTTGGTCAGAGTCCAGTACCATCTCCATGGTGGACTGCCACTTTGTCCGCAACATTGCGCAACAAGGCATTGGTGGTGCCATTTACATCGACAATGTGTATTTCACAGCCGAACGAACTCGCGTGGAAGCCAACCACGCCATTGGAAATGATGGCGGTGGGCTGTACGCCATGGGGGAATCGACCGTTTCCCTCATGAATTGCCAATTTCTCCAGAATTTCGTGCTGCCAGGGTACAGCGGAGGGGTAACGAGTGACAACCAAGTATGCTGACTCTCATTTTTTCGTATGCTTCTAGGGCATTTCTGCTGTCGGAAAAAGCACGATTACCGTGTCCGATTCGCTGTTTGAGGGTCCGATATTGTCTGACGAGGACACAATGGCAAAAGGAGGCTTGATCTTTATCAGCCAAGAACGAACAAAGGTTGTCCTACTTCGAACTCGCCTGCAAGTCGGGCACGCCAACTTTGGCGGCGGAGTCTACATTAGCGATGGTCATCTAGACCTGACCGACTCCACGATCGACAGCTGCAAAGCGTTGCAATTCGGCGGCGCGCTGCACTTGACGTCGTCTGCGTCCGCCGTGTTAACGAATGCATCGGTTGTCAGCAGCGACGCCATGTTCAATGGAGGCGGTATTTACGTCGAAGCACAATCGGTTGTAACCGCGGTTTCGTCGACGATCGAAGACAACTACGCCGACGATCAAGGGGGTGGAATTTTTGTAGCGATCGGAAAAGGCAACGCGTGTGTTTTGCAAGATTGTATCGTCCGTCGAAACATAGCTAGCGGGCTCGGGTCAGGTACTGCCGCGTTGCACTTGTTGGAGGTCCTGATATATCCACGTAGCACTTTTTGCCAGCCGCGACAGCCAAGTCACAGTGTCCAACACTCGATTTGAAGGGAATGGTGGGGTGACGTTCTACGGGTACAGCGAAGGCGGGCCGGTGTACTTCGATTCTAGCTATGGCACGCTGACGGACACCATTTTCGTGGGCAACATTGCATCGAACGGTGGCGCGTTGCAGATTCAAAACACGGCGCAGGTCCAAATGGAGCGATGCTTGTTTACCGAAAACACAGCTTTGATCAGCGGCGGGGCCATCTATCAGCGAAACGGAAACTTGAATGCCCAGGACACATCTTTTGACTTCAATCGGGCACCAAGCGGAGGTGCAGTGTACATGGAAGAGACTGCGCGATCGGCGTGGACAAATGTATCCTTCAGCAACAACAATGCAGACGTCGGAGGCGGAGCATACATTGGTGGGGCGTCAACGGTACAGTCTACCATGTCCCTCGATCTCTTGTACTGTGTGTCGTCATGTATCGAGTGTGGTAGGTCTTCTATACTGGCGGGATTGTGGCCAGCAACAGAGCAAGCATCGGCGGTGGCATCTTTGCCAGCGAAGATTCCATCCTTCACGCCAGCAATCTTCAAGGTCGAGCCAACATTGCACAGCACAGCGGCGGTGCATTCTACCTCAACGACACGGTGAACGTTCAGCACACTGATTTGGAGTTTGAGTCGAACGATGCCCCACTTGGACGGGATATCTTTTGGCGATACAAGCAAACATCGCCTAGCTACGCGTGTTCAAGGAATTGCCGTTTTGATACCTCTCGTGGACCATCTATTGCCACGGACCCGATGAACATTGAGATGGGGTGGTGGCCTGCGTACGCTACAAGTGGGGTACCGATGACAACGTCCAAACTCGACAACACGACACTCGAGTGGGACAACTCGACCAACACGAGCGTGCCGTGGCCAACGATTGTGGTGGTCGATTTCTACGGCCACCGCAGCATCCTCGACCAGTCGACCGTCTGCCGTGTGTACAAGAAAGTGTCGGAGCAGGTCAAGATCATGTTTTTGCCCAATTCGCAAGTTGTGTCGACGTCCGGATTTGTCACGTTCCAGGACGCCGAAGTCCAGACCGACCCAAAAGAAGCCCCGTTCGAAATGGAGGTCGAGTGCCGGTTGTACAACCATCTCACACGAACGTTGGATTTGAGCATTAAAGTTCAGCCATGCGACCCAGGCTACATGTTGCAGACCCAGTACGAACGACGTTCATTTTCGAATTCGCTCATGTATTTTTGTAGAAAATGCGTGCAGTGCGCTCAGGGAACATTCAGGTAAACAGCTACCTTGCATATGGGGACCCAGGCAAAGTAACAAATGCATGCGTAGTTTGGACGGCTTAACGTGCCACCCTTGTCCGTTGGGTGCCAATTGCGAAACGATTCAAACCGTGGGAACTGGTCAGCTTACCAGCGGAGTGGCCTTCCCATCGACGCAACAGGGATATTTCTTGGCCGATGCTCCACCGACAAGTCTCGAGAAACTGTGCGACATTGCCACGTACTTTCCATCGGGCGACCCATGTCCCGGAGGAACCGAACTCGACCGCCTCGACCGCATGCGCCGGTGCATGAATAACACGGATTTCAAGCTGCATTGGGACGAGAATCGCATTTTCACGTGCTCGTCAGGATTCATGTTTTACGCATGTCCGGTACGACAACGAATACCATCTCCACGACGTATCCAGGAATGCTATGTGTATGCAGGTGACGGAAGCGTGCAAAGGGAGCATTTCGAAATCCGAACTGGAACACGTTGGGCGTGTCTGTCAAATTGGGTATACGAGTCCATTGTGCGGTTCGTGTGACCGCAATTACCAAAAGATGCAAGACGGCACGTGCGTTCCGTGCGACGAAGTGTCCCGTAATGCTTTTTATGGCTACGTGACGATCCCGATCTTGATGATCATGGCGGGGCTGTATGCCATTGCGATGTACCTGCACCACGACACGGATAATGTGTTGATGGCGCAAGCTCGCGCAGCCACGGAAAACAGGGAGTTTCAGACAAAACCTTCGGAGTCGAAGCTGATGAATCTGGAAGCAGCGGTGCATCGGGTTCGAAAAGCCTTAAGAAGGACGTGGAAGAGGCTGGTCACGAAGGCAGCACCGAAGAAGAAATTGCCCAACAATTTGTTCGGAATCGAGCAAATCAAGCTTCCGACTCTCGACTTCAGCCCGGAAAAGTTCAAGATCCTACTTTCGTTTTTTCAAATTTTCTCCAACCTAAAAGATACGTACCAAATCTCATGGCCCCAAGACGTCGCGTACTTCATGGCGTTCGTGTCCAAGTTTAACTTTGACTTCATGAGTGTTCCCCACCTGGATTGCATGATCGACTTCAGCTTCTATGGCAACTTCCGGTAGGCCCCAATAGAGCGACTCGATCTTGGCGCTCCACCCTAACCATCCATGTAGACTCACATTGGCGACGGCCGCAATTTCTTTTGCCCTGTTGCACGTAACGTATCGCTGGGGCGTGTTTGTGTACAAGCGCAAACTGCATAAAATCCCGCGTCACTGCACGCTTTGTGGCCTACCCAACACGGCAATCTCCACCGAAACACGTGTTTCTGCAATTCGGCAGTTTGCTATGGAGATCGAACGAGACAAGAACCAGTCCAAGATCAAAAAACTATTTTCCCGATTCCTTCTCAGCATCGAGAAAGACGAAGTGAAGAATGCAATGCCGACATACTTGTCCAACCACATAAAATGTCCGACAACCGAGCGCGTGACCGACCCCGTCCTGCGTCAAAAGATCTTGCATACCAACATCCAGCTGTGGCAGGCTCGCGTCAAACTTCGCCTCAACTTTCGAACGTACACAGACAAGTGCATGAAAATTTTCTTTTGGTAAGATTCCCGCCAAAGCAATAGTTTCTGCATCCAAAACGTTAGGCTCGCACTTTTCATGTATCCTGCCGTGAGCCAAAAGATCCTAAATATGTTCAACTGCACTCAAGTGGGCCAGGGGTCGTTCTTGGTGGCGGACATGACGTTGAGCTGCACGGATGGGTATTGGTACTCACATGCGATCGTGGCGGTCATCGGCTTGGTCGTTTGGGTATTTGGTACGTTGCGCCGCGATTTGTTTTAAGTGACCATGAATCGGTCCGTCGTAGGAGTGCCGTTCTATTGTTGGTCCATTTTGTTCCAAGAGCGCATGGCTGGCGTTCGCATTCGTATGCGCATGCTCAAGGACAACAAGCACGAAGAGTTGCGTCAGAAATGGATCGCGAAAATGAAAGCCGACTACAAAGCCACTGGACGGTATTGGCACACCAACTACGACGCATTTGCCAACATGCTCCTCCACGAGTACATGAAGAAGCGGAACATGGAGGTAGGAAGGCTCACGCTTGACGAACTAACCTGAATGTGCTCGCGGTCGTAGCTGCCCAGTACCATTGCGCGTGTCGGATTCATCTATGCAGCATGTAAGTAGTTATCGGTCAGATCGGGTGTTCATTCTGAAACGGCGATTTCACGTGCTTACAGACAAAGACTCGTTCTGGTTTTTCGAGATCGTGGATTTGATCCGGTAATGCGACAGATTCGTTTCGAATCGATTGATCTAGCGATTCCTGGTGACGGCGTAGAAAACTGCTTCTGAATGGAGTTTTGTCGTTTGCCGATCGCGGGTCTGTCAATCAAATCGTGATCGGCATGATAATCATGTAAGTGGTGGCTCTCCTGTGCCCGTGATGGGCATCCTCACATTCCGCGGTCGGCCGCGTTTAGATTTGCCTACATGGCCATCATCTTGGCCATGCAACCTTACAAGAATCGGTCGAATACCCTCGTCGCTTCGATGGCCCAACTCCAGCTCTTTGTCACGCTGTTTGGTATGTTCTGGCCTTGCAATCCATGATCGATTGACATCGCGTGTAGCTGGTCTCTTAATCAAGATGAATGTTGGGAAAGCGCAGTCCCTTGATATGGCAACTGTCAGCGGCGTCATCATCATAACCAACATTGCCGCGATCTCGGTGACGTTGCTAGAAGCGATTCGCGAAAAGTACTTGGAGCGGAAAAAGTACAAACTCATACGCCTGCGCAAGTACCAGAACGACCTGCGCTACCACGTTCAGAGGCTGTGGTGGCGAGCAATGTCATATGCCATGACCGAAGTTTACTTGGATCGAAAACAGGTTGACTCGGATGTCCAGCCGTCGTTTCGAGTCGTATTGGAGCTCGCCCGGCGACAAAAAGCCACCAGCACCGTCCCGGCTGCAGATCAAGACGATGGCATGCCCACAATCGCCCTTGATGAAGTCGCAGTTGCTGAAACTTCCGAGGTAGATTCAACCTCCGCGTAAAATTGGGAAGATCGTCAATTGAAGCGCTAATCAAACCGACATGATGTCTGTCCTATGCATTAAATGGTTGAATTCATATTATGAATGGATGTAAGTTATTGTGAAGTTATCTTTGCGACGAATGCGGCGTGTTACGCGACACGGTGGACACGCCGTCGACGAACTTGGTGCGAAACACGACGTTGGCGTTGTTGAACATGCCTTCCTTTAGCGACACGACAATGAATTGCGAGTGCGAAAAATGCGTGCGGATCATTTGCCCGATGTTTTGCGTGTGGGACAGATCGAGTGCCGCATCCACTTCGTCCAAAATGTACATCGGTGCCGGCTTGAAGAGTAACAGCGACAGAATCAACGAAAGCGCGAGCAGCGACCGTTGGCCACCACTGAGCTCGGTCAGGCTTTCTTTCCACACCTGCCCAAATGCGACCTTCACCACCAAACCATCCAACACAGTGCCATTCTCGGGCGGGTCCAGCTTGGCCGTGGTGCCTGGCAGTAGCGTGCTGAAGATCGAGCCAAAGTCTTTGTTCACTTTGATCCAGGTCGTTTCCAGTGCTTCGTTTTTCTTGGCATCCAGTTCTTGAATAACCGCTGTAATCTTGGTCTTGTCGTTTTCGATGATGCCGCGCTTGGTCATCAAGCTCTGGTACTCGTTCTCAGCCTTTTCAATCATTCCCATGACCTTCTTATTGATCTTTTTGGACAGTGCGCCTTGAGTGTCCTTCAGCGACGCCAATCGTTTCTGAGCCGTCGGGTAATCCTTCTGCCGAAAGTCGTAGTCGGTGTGTTCCTTGCCAAAGTACTGGCGCTCGTTGGCAATCCAGCTGTGGGTTTCGAGCAAATGGGTCACTGCCGTGCGAGAGTTGGACGTTTCTTTCTGGATGCGCTGGATGCGGTGTTCGATCTTCTTGAATTCGATGTCGCAGTCGTTCATTCCCTTTTGGTGGGAGCTGAGCTGTGCTTGCAACGTTTTGAGTTCGTTGTCACAAGCGTTCAACGCGTCTCGTTTTGCCTTAAGTTGATCCCCGACAGTTTTACATTCCGCTTCAACTCGACTAAGTTGCTCAGCGCATTTGTTCACGTCACTCGACAGCCGCACGCGCTCTTCTTCCGCAGCATTGAGTGAGTCTAAAGTAGTCTCTCGCTCACTCTGTACTGCTTCGAGCTCCAACTTAGCCTCGGAGAGCTCTTGTTCGTACTTCTTGAGCACGTTCGAGGCCGTTGTCACTTCGATCTTGACTTGTTTTTGGCGAACTTCCAACTGCGCCAACCGGCTCGAACGAGATGTCTTGAGCGAATCAATGTCTTGTTGCAGCGTCGACACTTGGTTGCGATGACGAGTGATGGATGCATTCGTCGTCTCCACACCAAGGGTAGCGTTCTTGAGTTCGTCCTGAATGCGTTCGATTTCTTGTTGAATCATGCCATATGACGTAGCTTGCATTTGGCTTTCGAGGATCTGTTTCTCGTGGTGCTTGAGATCCAATTGCTGCTGGAGCTTGTGGTAAATTAGTGAGTCCTACCAAGTACACATTACACTGTGAGTTAATTCACCATCAAATACCTTTTGGGATGACTTAAATTGAGCTTCCAGTTCGTCAAGTTCGCGTTCAGTGGCGCGAATTTTCCGGGTGAGGTCAACGAGGACTTGGACCTTTTTCAGAATCGACGAGTTGTTCGAGGGGGCGGACCCACCCTGCAGCGTGCCCGCGGGATCGAACGAATCACCCTCAAGCGTCACCGTTCGCGTCTGGACGTCTCGGTGAAACGTGACTTGCTTGGCTACATCGCTTTTGTCGCATATGAGTGTTGTACCAAACGCATACTCCATAGCTGGCTTGACGTCGTGGTCATACTCGACAAGTTCGAGCGCTTCCCACACCTGGCCACCTTCAGAGATGGCGATCGACTTGGCAGTGGACACCTTTTGGGGCGGCAGGGTCTTGCGCGTGATGCGATTGAGAGGGATAATCGTCACGCGAGACTTGAGGTTGCCGTGTTGGAGAAGCTGCTTTCCTGTCTGGTCACTGTCGACAACGACATGGTACAACTTGCCTCCAGCCGCAAGTTCGAGCGCGGTGGCACTCCAGTCGTGTTTCAACGTGAGCAACTTGGCGACCATTCCCTTGACACTGTCTGGGTCAATCCGGGGGTTGTGGTAGTCGAAGCGGAGCTTTGACGACACGCTAGCCGTCGCCTCGTCCAATTCTCGATGCAACGCATGCAACTTCTGCTGCAAGTTGTGGCGACGCGACTTGACCTGGTGTTCTGCATCGGCGTTGAATCCGAGACGGGCAATATGATCTTCGATCTCTTGAATTTGCGAAGACAATACCCCATACGACGCTTCCATCGATGCATTTTGAGACCTGGTCTGTTCCAATGCGGCTTTTTTTGCCTTCAAGTTAGTTTCCATGTGCTTGATCTTCATCGTGAGCTGATGGAGTAGCGACGTTTGCTCCTGGAGCTCCTTTTGACTGGACGCCAATTGCTCGCCCAGCGATTTCTTGCTCACGTGGCTACTGACCCCAGCATTCAACGATTGAATCTCGTCGACAATACCGGCCAGCGCATCGGCTTTCTCCTGGTAGTTCTCATGGACGCGGTCGAATTCGCTTTGCTTTGTTTCTAAAGTCTCTTTCATCGCGTCGATGGCCGACTCGACGTCGCGACACTGATCGCGCAACGCCTGTACGTTTTTTTCCGTTGCGTCGAGAGTCGACTTTGAGTTCGCGTGCTTGGTCCGCACCTTGACGAGCTCTTTGCCGAGAGACTCTTCCTTGTCCTTTAGTGCTTGGAACTCTCCGCGCATATGCTTGTTCTTGTTGAGGTTGATGCAGTCGACTTTGTCCTGAGTCGTCTCCATCTGTGCTTCATGGTTCCGTCGCGATTGCGCAAGGGCTTCGACTTTTTCTTCCATGTCCTTGAGCTCCGTCGTCGACTTAGCAGATATTTGCTCTGCTTTCGTGAACTCATAAGCAATGCAAAACCTCGTCAAGCGTTCCATTTCCGTGTTGTTGGCCGCCCACTGCATGTAGTTCATCTTTTCTTTGCGCAGCTTCTCCAGTGTTGGTGTGATTTCTTCAGCCAGGATCTTGTTGATTTCGTCCACTTTCTTTTCCTTCTTTCCCATTGTCTTGAGTGCCGATTGCTTCTTGTTCTCGTACATGCGCGTGCCGGCAGCTTCTTCGATCATGCCAAGTATTTCGGGAGGTTTCATGTTAAGCACCTTCGTGATGCGACCTTGCATGATCAAGAAGTGCGGATTGTTCACGTTCAGCTGCACAGAGTGAAATAGGTTCTGAACCTGGTTCACTTGGGCCGTGTGGCCGTTGATCAGGTACTTGTTCTTCCCGCCAATGACAACTTGTCGCGCCACTGAGATCTGCTTGTACTGCTCGTACCCCACAGGACTTTTGGATCTGTCTTCGTTGTTGAATAAGATAGTGACACTTGCTTTAGTGACTCCTGCCTGCCCTTGTTTGTACACCAGTTCTTGAAGGTTGCTGGCACGAACTGCCGTTAGGTTCGAGATCCCAAGGACAAAGCAAATCGCATCGAGGATGTTACTCTTGCCACTCCCATTAAGACCTGTGATCGCATTGAAGCGAGGGTCGAACCCACTCACCACCGTGCGCGTCGCGTACGACTTGAACCCATCGATGATCACCTCTTCCACATACATGCTGCTTCCGCCGTCCTCTGTCAGAATTCAAATTTCCAAGTGGCGGAAACAATTCTGATTGGCCACATTTGAAACAACCAATCATGGCTCTGTTGGCTGGATGCCAATTTACTGATATCTCTTTAGAATAACGTATTATTGCCTCTATATTTTTTCTATAACGTATCATTGCCTGTAGAGACTACTACAGGCAATGATACGTTTAGTACTAATCCACAGTGAAGTACAGTAATTAGTACAGTCGTTGGAAGAACTGTGGTACACCTTCCACTTGGCCAAAGTGGAAAGTGAAAATATTATTCTAAATGTTACGAAATTTGAAATATTGGAGATAATATTATGGAATGTATACACTGCATATGTCAATTTGCTCAGGTGCCAAAAAAGTCTAGTTTCACTGTCAAGGCGGCGGGCACTTGGGGAAATGGCGGATGCCTTTAGACTGCCTCTGTACTACACTGCTGAGGATGGAAAGGGGCCATGGTGGACACAGGTTGTTAAGTCCAGCGGTCCATGTATGAGCCTGCCCCCGTGAGGCATGCTGGGTATAAAAGTGTCATTGCTATCGTACGATTCTTATCATGTTACTCAACTTGCGCTGTTGCTCTCATTTCAACTAGCATGGTAACTTCGTCTTCTGACAGCAGCTGTGGAATGTGTCGGTGGCTTGTTCTTCGTTTTAACTTCTTTGCAAACTCACAGTCCGCGAGAGCATCGAGGGGGCTTGTAGAGGTTTATGGGCAAAGAATTGGTCAAATTTCACAAGGTTTGGTGCATTCTACTCGTCAAACCCTCTAAAATTAAGTAATTTTGTAAACAGCCTCTGAAACGAAATGGATTCCACGATATGATTGAAAAACCGTGAAACTTAACACAAAATGAACCCATGATGTTCAATTACGTGTGAAAATGAATGAATAAGTGTTGTTGGAAAGTTGAAGGAAAAAAATATCACGAACTGGAGAAACCCTTCTATTTCTATATTTGATGTTTCATCATCTTCATCATTATCCATCAAAATACCTGCCCAAAATATTCCAAAAGTTACTGAATTCGATCTATTTCCTTCATTTCTTGGCCTATTTCGATGAAGTAACTGCCAAAATGACCGCCTTGATTGGGCGGATCGTTTCCCTCCAGTTTCAAGGCCCTGACAAACTTATGGCGGCAAACGTGATTTTTCCAACCTAATGGACCCTTCCACCTTGGCTCGGATAAAATTGTTCGTCAAGGTGCGCCGCAGGCGCAGCTTGTCCTACGACGAAAAGCTGGACATACTATGGATGCAAGCAACGATACGCGAAACTGGTCATACTGATGTCACTGGGACCATTGCACAACTCCTTGGTAGGGCGAAAAAGACTGTGCAAGGGGTTCTTGCAGAGTTTACCCAAGCTGGCGAGTTGTCCGTCGCAAATCTCCCGTCGAACACATCCAACCACCATACCATCGTGCCAAATCGTCGCGCGGTGCGAATACTTGTCAGAACCTTCATCCGTGACCGCAGCGTTGCACGTACCCGAACTGTGGCAAAAGATGTCTTGGCTCTCTTGTTTGAGCATCATGTTCTGGCCATTGATCCCAACTGCCACAAGAGCTATTCGTCGTGCTTTCGAGGTGTTCAGTCTTTTCTTGCAAAGCAGGGTTACGCTCGAGGGAAGCGTGTTGGCGAGACTGAGTACAGCGTGAGCAAGGAACACCAAGACGCACGAGACCAATATGTCAGCATGATGGTACCTACCGTGTCTATGTCTCCTAGTCGGCCTGTTGTGAACTTGGGGTTTCGGGGTTACGCTGTATGAACATCACATGCAGCATCCAACAAAAAAGTATTCTGAGCTCGCTTTGTGGGCGAAGGAATCATTTAATCTCGCTCGGGTCCCAACTAAATCTACCATTGGCCTTGCGTTGAAGAAGAACACGAACGAAAGCAAGCGTGCTGACAGCAAAACAAGAAGCGTAGATCGCGCTGTCCCGCTGCCCGAGGTCGAGGAGCGAGTTCTTCAATGGGTGCTGCGCTGTGAAGAACTTGGCGTGTGTATAACTGGCGAACTGATTCGAAAGCAAGCGGCCAACAAGTTCGACCAACTACAATTGCCTGAGCAACGACTAATGCAACAATGTACACCACTATATTTGGATGTATTGCGATAATTGCATAGAATGAACCGTTTGACTTAGCGAGGGAAATCAGTATTGCATATTGCAGGTAGTGCCAAATTCAGCATTGAAATGTAGCCCCTGTAATATTATTATCAATTTAAAAAATTCTCAGAGTCCCCTCGATGCTCTCGCGGACTGTCAGTCAAAACCAAAGTTGTACGCATCGATGAAATTAGCTTACAGTGGTGGGCATCAACCAGGGGTCGTTTACTCGAACGCAAGGGCGAAGTGAGTTCTTGTGGAGATGGGATGCATTAATCGAAGCAGCTCGTTGAGCTGAAACGACCTGTACTAACGAATTCTTTCTAAACGTAATACCCTTTCAAACATTCTACTACAAAGATGTGAATGATTGTCAATTTGATTCCTTTTTACTGATATCCTGTATCTTGTCATGAAAAACGATGTAACAAAATTATTAGTTTGTATGAGTTTACGGTGTTTTTTATGTACCATCACTGTCATCCTGTCAAATTTTATCATTCCACAACATGGTCTAACCACCGCCAAATGATTGCCACGACTGAATTCGACTTGATCTGTGGTTTCGTCAAGCAGAGTCGCCCACCTAGCCTAAAAGAAGAACGTATCGACATTTTATGTCTTCACGCTCACTTTCGACATGAAGGCATGGAGGATGCATCCAACTCACCTAGTTGCAGGACTACCTTGGTCTCCAGGACGCTGTAGATGAAGGAGATGTGGCGGCGGACGAGCAAGTGCTACCAGACATCAGCCATGCATCATACGACGATGACCATACCTGCGACTATTACGCAGCAGCGACATTGACGACGACTTTGGTCTTTGGCACCTGTAGTAACGTGAACTGACGGCTTGTAGAATTTTATACCTCATTGAGTACAACGTTTCGGAGGTACCAAATTTTAAAATGAGTTGTTACCTCATATTCAACCCTGTGAAAGGTAATTAAATTTGTAAACGACCCCTGGAAGCTGCCCACGAATGTTAGACACAGAAGAACCTACGAAAGGAGGTTTTCAGGTACACAAACCTCCAGTCCACTAAATATGTATGAAGGGCCAATTTCATGTATATTTCACCGGTCATTAAGAACGATGGTCGTGTTGTAACTTTGACATAACAAGTTTACGGATAAATGAATGATCTACCGGATACATATCATTGAATACGTCTACCGTAAGTTTATAGCTCGGTCACCCTATTGGCCAAATTCCTACCCCCTCTGTCCCATAGAAATTGCGCGAGTTTGAGAAAGGTGTACAATGACTGGCAATTAAACTTTGAATATAAATTCAAGCTGAGCGTATGCCTCCTCAATTGGGGAATCGACACATCTGATTGGATCATTGCATATAGCGCGCCAAGTGTCTTCTATGTGTGTAAGTATTAGCACGAATCTAAAAAACGGGGCATATTTGCCGAGTCAAAGGCAGCATACAAACTTCCATATAAATTTTACATCGAGGAAATGACACACATTCAAAATGTCAATTACAGTCAACTTGATAAAAACTCGACAGAGTGGTACTGAATAAAATTGAGCATCCGATGAGCAATGCCA